TCTCCCCCGCAGTCTCCGGTCGTCATTGATATGAAATTTCTTTGGGTCGTGACCCCCTCCTTCTGCTCCCTCCATGTCTTCTCCTTCCTGAGCTTTCAAGCAACCTGATCCTATGGCCAATCAACAAGATCTGCAACAATACAGCATGAAGGAGCCTGTGGTGACCGGCTTCCAGAGCATGGAGGTCAATGAAGTCAACGATGTGGATGAAGTCAAGGGAACACGTTATGATATGACGGAGATGGATCGCATGGGCAAGGCTCAGCAGTTCAAGGTGAGTGCCATCAGCATCACTTGCAAATTGTCTATTCTTTGCTAAAGAATGCAACTCATAGAGAAACATCCGTCCGCTGGCAGCGCTCAGTTTCTCTGCTGTTTTGCAAGCCACCTGGGAATATATCTTGCTGTAAGAAATCCACGGCCTCAGCTTTGGGCTTCGTTCGAATTCGTGTTCACAGAAAGACAGGTCCAACTATCAAGGTTTGCAGGATGGCGGGCTGGCGGGGATGCTATGGTCATACGTCTGGAGTACCGTGGGTTTCGGCTTCATCATCGTTTCCCTGGCTGAGATGGCATCGATGTAAGGAATCGGAAACCCCGAGCTAATAACCCTTCATGATGAGCTAAATATGTGGTCTTTTAGGGCTCCCACGTCTGGCGGCCAGTACCATTGGGTTTCAGAGTTCGCACCGGCCAGGTATCAGAAGTTTCTGAGTTATGTGACCGGTTGGATGTCGGTCCTTGCCTGGCAAGCAGGCACGGCCTCCGGTTCCTACTTGACAGGGTCCATCATACAAGGGCTGATCAGCGTCAGAGACCCTAGCTATGACGCCACGGGTTGGCAGGGCACCCTGTTTGTCTTTGCCATGATCTTGGTTGCGTATTACTTCAACGTGTACGCCTCGGGCCTCATGGCCCGCATGCAGAATGTCCTGCTCGCTACACATGTGCTCTGCTGGGTTGTGATCGTGGTATCGCTTTGGGTCCTGGCTCCCCTGCAGTCGGCTGAAGCGGTCTTCACCAAATTCGAGAACTTTGGTGGATTCTCTTCGATGGGGTTGACGGTGATGGTGGGCCAACTCTCCGCGATCTATGGCTGTCTGAGTAAGTGAATATCGCCTGCAAAGGAAGAAGACCCTTGACTGATCCTCTTCACTAGGTTCGGATGCAACGGCCCACATGTCGGAGGAAATCAAGGACGCCGGTCGTTATGTGCCCATTGCAATCACATGGTCATACTTCGCCAATGCAATCCTGGCGTTGATTGTGCTAATTACTATGCTTTTCGCGACTCCTTCCGTCGAGGATGCCCTGAACGACGAGTCAGGCTATCCTCTGATCTATGTCTTCAAGCAGGCAACTGATACGTCTGGAGTCAATGGCCTGATGGCGATTATCTTGATCCCTGTGATTCTCAGCAACATTCTATTCAACGCCTCCACCGCTCGGCAAACATTCTCTTTTGCTCGTGATCTTGGACTGCCGTTTTCAAAATGGACTGCTAAGGTGGACGAGAAGCGTAAGCTTCCGGTCAATTCGGTGATCCTGACCTGCGTTTTCAGTGCTCTCTTGGCTTTGATCAACATTGGCTCTGAGACCGCTTTCAATGCCGTGGTATCTCTCAATGTAGCCGCGCTCATGTTCTCCTATTCCATCTCCATGAGCTGTCTGATCTGGCGAAAGCTCTACCACCCGGAGAGCCTGCCGCCTGCTCGCTGGGGGCTTGGCCGCTATGGTTTGGCTGTGAATATCACTGGATTGATATATGTTCTCTTCGCGCTGTTCTGGTCATTCTGGCCAAGTGAGCTTCCTGTTGCGGCTGACAACTTCAACTGGAGTGTGGTGATCTTCGTGGCTATTTTCATCCTGAGTTTGGTCATGTATGTGGTCAAGGGAAGAGGGGAGTATGAGGGACCAGTGACGTTGGTCAAGAAAGGGGGTCACGACCTGTAGGCTATGAAGACGGATTGGATATAGTTCTTGAAGCCATCTGGGATAAAAATAAAGGAGGCGTGAGAGTTTGTACTGTAGTGTTGAGAGAGTTGTTTGTGAGGTTTGTGAGGTGCACAATGATGATGACTCAGCACGTGCGTGCATGCTCTGTGCGGGTCGGACAACCGACTGCCCCGCTGCGCCGTGGTCTAATCATTCGCTTCTGCGCTTCTCTGATCTCCAATAATACTTCCAAGGTTCTTATTGCCTGGACTCTTATCGTTTTTAGGTAGATACAGGTCGATGTCGACTGTGCCTACACAATCTCGACGCGTCTCACAACGCCAGCCTCTAGCATGTCGAGGTGAGTAGAAGTGGCTCTCTCTTGCCGTGGGCCAGTTCATTGGACCTCGCGAATAACTCGTGTCTTTAGAATGTACCAAAAGCAAGCGAAAATGCAGCAAGACCATCCCCTGTACCCGATGCAGTCGACTGAGGCTCAGCTGCTCTCGTGAAATTGTGCAGTTGCAGCGAAGCGCAGCGCGACATGGAGCTGAAGTAGACTTCCTCGACTCACTGGTCGGGGATTTGAACTTGCTTCTTGAATCTACATCCGCTACAGCAAAGCTAGAGCTACCACAGATCATATCGAAAGTTCGGAATAGAATTTTTCAGCTTCAAACGGGACTGGAACCTTCACTCGACCCCCAGCCACCTGTGCCCGAACCTCCGCTACCACCCGGACCAAATGAAGCACAGTATCATGCTGAGCTGGTGGAGCCAGCTGGTTCATCATTAGTGACTGCCATCGAGCATCTGGCATGGGGCAGAGACTCTGCCGGATGCTTTCCACATCTGAAATGTGGGTGTCAGTATAGCCGACCTGTAGTCTCCAGAGCAACTCCGCGCTCTTCTCAACGTTCATTTGACCTCGGTATGGATGCTTCCAGTGCAGAGAAGCTTATCCGTTTCCACTTATGCCATATGGCTTGGCACCATGACTGCATTCATGCGCCCACATTTCTCGAACAGTGTGAGAAGTTTTGGCGTACCGGCGAAACGGATCACGCATTGTGGATGGCTCTTTACCTTTCGGTTCTTGGAGCGACCGTGTTTGCTATGCGCATTAGCAGCCGAGCCAAGGCTGCTGTCGCTATCGACTTAGACATGATGCCTCCAGCGGATCATTTTCTGACGGCTATGCTAGAAGCTCTCTATGCCGGTCACTTTCTCGAGGACATGTCGATATATGCGCTGCAGGCGATTGTCATCTCCACTGAAATTGCCCATAACCTGGGCCGGAGTCAGCTGAACGCCACCCTATTCAAGGCAGCCGTACGTATTGCAGAATGTCTGGGAGTGCATCGAATACGAGAGGCGCGCGGAGCATCTCTGGATACCGAGGAGGCGTGGCTCGAGACCGTACAGCGTGAAGTGGGAAAGCGCGTGTGGTGTCAGATGCTGATTCAAGATCACTTCGCCATCCCCTTCACCAATACCTATAGCATCTCGCCCTCGCAATACTCTACGGGATCTCCGTTGAACGCGGACGACTACGACCTGACCGACATGCCGCAAACAGTCCCAACGGTGAGTAGCTATGTGCGGGCGCTACGGAAAATTGCAGATCTGATGCCATCACTGATCGATGGGCTGGGATCGATGGGCCAGCCAAAGCCTCTCCGAGAGCAGTATGCTCATGTCCTACTGCTGGACAAACGAATGCGCTCCGTTGTCAAGGGCTTCCCCCGCTTCCTGTTACAACCCGATGCTGAGAAGGAACTCGAAATCCCTTGGCTAGGGATCGCACGACGCAGTCTCGCGATCACGGCCGCGGAAAAGATCATCATGATCCACCGCCCATTTTTGTTCCTGTCATTTCACTCTTCTTCGTATCAGCACACCCGACGAACATGTGTTGCCGCTGCACTGACCATTCTACGCGAGCATGAGACCATCATCAACGAGGGCGACTTCTTCGTCTGGACGCACTCCGCTTTCTGCATCACGGCCGCGATCATCCTCTGCTTCGAGGTCAGCGTCGCCTCGAATGATAGCACCGGAGGCCCTGAGACCGATAAATTCCGGCTGGCGATTCTGGCCGCACGCAATCGTCTCGCAGACCAGAAGAGCGATATTCTCGCGCAGAGAGGCGTTGCCCTCATCGATGCAATTTTTGCCTCGGAGGGAAACCTGGACTTGGATTTTTATCGCGCGGTGGCTGATGTGCTACGATTTGGCCAGACCACACAAGGGTACTCCAGCAGCAACAGCACCACCACCACCACCAGCGCCACCACGACTACATTACCTATGCTCCCCGACATTTCCGAACCTTATCGCAGTCCAGGTAACACTGCTACTCCCGACTCTCAGTCCACCTTTGATCCGCACCCGGACAACATGGATTTCGAGACTTGGTTCAACCATATCTTCTACCAGCTCAACAGCTCGGCCACATGATTGAATCGCGTGCTTTTCTTTCTGGTGATGCACACTCTTCTCACGGACTCGCTACCGCTGATCATGGCGCGACTTAAGTCTCTGAACATGATGAGGTGGACTTCCTTGCTTTTCATGCTGGAAACCCACGTGCTGGGTTGTCTGGGTAAAGTGAGGCTTGTTGATCCGGCAGGATTGGCTCTAAAAGCGGGACGGGGGCTGGCTGGTGAAATCTTGCCTTGGGCGCTGCTCCTAGAAAGGCTGTTGGCCCTATATATCTGGTTCAGCCTCTTCCCAGAGACGGAGGGGCTCAGCGGAGCCTGTTACGGTGTCTTGTCTGGACTGTATCGGCACAAGGTCTTTGTTCTATGGTGGCTGCCATTTACCCAAACAATGTACTTGACTGCCCCAGTGCTCGGAAATAGACAGTGTCTTTAGGGCTTACCTGAAATCATAAGACACGAATGAATGCTTCGAAAGGGGGGCGGGCAAGGGTTGAATGCCGCGAAGACATGCGGGTCAATTTCGCCATCCGACGTTGGAAGAACCACTGCGTGCATGTGCTTATGATATCTTCGAGCTCAGATTGAAAACGAAAACTTAATTGATATAGGGTATCGAGTGAGAGAAATCTATATACTGGAAGTAGGTGAATAGCCAATGTAGCCAACTACGTCCAAGAAAAGTATTCCCTGGTCAGATCTGCTACAGTACCAGGGGGGGAAGCTACGGCATCTCTATGATAATCTCATCACCTCCGTCGCGCCACTGCGCCCCCATGCGCCGGATCCGTCGCTCACTAGCTAGAAACAAGAGCAGGTATATATGCGAGGCAATCTCCCCCCACGCGTAGATTTTGAGCGTCAAGCGCTGCGTTTCTGCCGCCGCTGCACCTGGCAAGGAAATGGGGGGTCCGGGGGTCGATTGTTTGGGTTCCTTCAGGGATGTTGGTGGCTGCGCATCCTCGAGAATGCACCATACGCCCCAGCCTGCACGACCCTCCTTGTTGATGAAATCGGACAAAAAGGTCCAGAAGCGGGTGAAGAAGGAGACGTCCCAGGTTGTACTGGTGTTGGTGCTGACGGGATTGCCATGGGGTACAGTAGGTGACGGCGAGGATTCGGATGGAACGAGAGTCAAGTGGAGGAACCAGTAGCCTCGTTCGAGGGGGTCTAGATCTCGCGTTTGTTTGACAGGGGTATACGTTCGTCCTGAGCGGAGACGCGTGGCTAGCATCGCGAGGGTTGGAGTGATGTGGGTTTTGAAGGGTAATCTGGAGACTGGGGGTAATGGCGGGTGGATCTTGAGGGGCGTCGTTACTAGGGCATTTTTCGTAGAGGGCGTGTCGTGGCAAGGGGCATCAAGTGCTGAAGAGAGATTAGGGACGGATGGGGTGGATTGTGCGTGCTCATGCCACGGCTGATTATGACTTGGTTCGTTTTGGCTTCCGGGCAGAGGCTCGTCATCTCCCTGTTTTTCGGGTATACCAGGCGGACTGACCCGATTCCGCTTCGCTGGAGGAACGTCTGTTATAGGTGGCAGATTATATTTGCGACGCGATACAGATACAGGAGACGTTGTCTCCTGCGGGGCGTGATCGGGCTGGGGTCGCACGGGCGGAGCGTCATGTCGGACGCGGTCCGGAGAGCTGGTATACTCTTCTCTCTCCGGTATTGGAGGATTTACCCCGCTTCGCTTCGCTGTATGTACATCGGTTGTAGGTGGCGACGATCTGTGAGCGCGTACGGTGGCAGTGACAGGAGAATTGATCTCTTGCGAGGCGAGGATATCCTGCTGAGTTTGTTCGGGTTGCGAGTCTGGAACCACACTAATGGGGGTTCCGAGAGAGTCGGCGACGTGCTGAGTTTGCTGGCCAGGTGAAAAGACCCCGGCCAAGACTGGTATTGTTTCTGGTTGCCGATGAGGTATATGCAAAGAGCCAGTGTTAGGCTCTCGATTATCATCGTCCGCCTCACCACTATTGCTGTTCGCGGTCGATCTTACTGCCGCCGATGAGGCGGCCAGTTGTGCGCTGTCGGCAGTGTTCACTTCATCGGTATGGTCATTGTCCGATCGCAAGGTGATCACTTGGCGGGTGGAGGCCTGGAATGCGAGGATGGCCTCGACTTGAGCCCGATAGCGTGCATCGTCACGGACGGTCCCGGGCGCGGAGATGTGAATGAGGATTTCGGAGTCGGGCATGGCATCGGGGAGGCAATGGACAAAATCCCTGCGCGCACATGGTGGATCTCGCTTTGACTTTCAATCCCTAAACCTTCTTGTCTGGTCAAGGTGAAGGGGCTGTGGATGGGAACGAAGCTGAAAGAGAAGGAGGGGAGGGGCAAAAGGTCAAAGGTCCAAGGCCGAGCGGAGAAAGAGCTGAGAGTCTCGCCGCCTGCCCGTCTGGGCCAGATTGTTAGCCTTAGGCCGCTGATCGCCTTTCGATAGTTCCGGCGCATGCGCATCTCCAAGTTTCCTTCAAGTTCTCAAAATCCACTCAACTACGGAGTACACTTGGGCAAGATAGACAATCCCGGGATCCAGGACAGCCTGGTCGGTACTGTCTCGGCTTTTGCTTTCGGTCCGGCAGACCACTCAACTAACTCCATTGAGTGACCATCTACCGACGATCGTCATTGTTGTTTGCCGATTGTTCAGCCTTGAGCTTTGGAGACTGCCTCAAGGCCACTTCTATCGCTCACAAATCCTATTCAGTGATTTCGTCACACTCGCTGAGTGTCATAGAAGGTTTACCTGCCACACATAGTCCACAACTAGTCTATGGGTGCGATCTGCGACCGGAACGTGTTGCTGAATGGTTGCTGGAACAATTACATTCGTTGCTACTTGCACTAACTACTCAGTCTGAAGAGATTGTCCAGACGCGATGCCGCCCTAAATGCAATTGCGAATCAAAAGTGATTCGAACTATCTGGCTTTCGCAAGGCGACTTGACGATCGGCTTCGATCACCGCACGGTCCGGGATCATTCAGGCTTGAGGATGCGAGCATACGTGAACACAACCGGCGCTACTGGAAGGCGCTCGTCTCCTGATCTACCGAATCAATCAAACTGGTCGAAGTCAGCAAGTGACAGATGTGAAAGCACCAGTATTGCGGCAGCCACAGATAGGTGACACAACAGCTGTCCCCCATTGGTCCGTACGGACAAACCATCCATGAACCGCGATGTACCTGAAAAGGCCGGTAGAGGAGAGTTTTCGGTGGATATGGGCTTGACTCGGATCCAATAATGGCGCAGCTCTGCCGGAGCGTTGGGAATCGTACCATAACAATCAAACAAAGTGTGCGGTTCCTGCCACTAATAATGGAGCGCAATGGATACTAGCACGGTAGCACCACTTTCGACCGGGGCCACTAGATTGATTAGACTGAGGGCTTTCTTTGCACGGTGGAGCTGATGGGTCTGAACTGATAAAGGTAAACAATTCGGAGTGGAGAGAGACAATGGAAGAGTGGGAATATGGAACAGAGTCAAGATTAGTATGAGAATTACCGGTCAGTCGAAGGAAAGAGAAAGAGGAAGAGGAAAAGAGGGCGCAGCAGAGACTGCGCTCAACAAAAGGTCCTAGGCATTATTGGGGACGCGTTGATGTTGCACAGGCGTCCCGGAATTTCAGAGATGTCAAGCCGGCTGCGTCCCCGAGTGACAAGCGAGGCAGGCAGGCGTTCCACAGCAGACAGGGACGATCGATCCAACCACGCTGGAAAGAAGAAGATCAATCCGATTGTTAACTTACCTGTTGACATGAGCTAGAAGAGTATCTATGCAAGTTGCAACCGTACTCCGTACCTACAGATACTCACTCCTAGAGCTATTGCCGCCTTTCATCTTGAAAGCCGAACAATTGCTGGGCCGTTGCGGTCGGTTGGAGATGGTGGTGGCAGCCTCGGGCGGATGTCTGTCTAGCCGCCTATCGACGATGACCAGTTGCCCGTTTTTTTCCCTCTCCCCTTGGCCGATCGAATCCACTTTCCTGCTCCACTTGGCGTTTTGCTTTTCGTACGATGTACGAATACTGAGCTGCAGGAGAGTTGAAGAAGGAAAGAGTGAATTAAAGCTCTAACCAGATTTAGCAGTCGAATCACACAACACTGGGCACTCACAGAACTTGACGGGTGGAAATGCCGAGACAAGATCGGATCTGGTGTGCTGCGGAGGATTCCTTCAAAGTAGACCTATAATGTCAATTGCTATTGCCCGCTGGATTGATCAGATCGGAGGGCAGAAAGTGATGCACAGTTATGTACGGAGTACGAAGTACGAGTATGTATGTACAAAATCAGTTGGCCTGAGCTCCTTAGGCTATAGCAGCTAGGTACCTCTTTGGTTCTGCCGTGATAATCTTTCCGTACCTAGTCCGGTATTATCCTCCATCTTTCCAATGGTCCCCGGCACTTCCCCGGCAGAACATGCATGGATTTGAAGAAGCCTGAAGGCGTGGGGAACAGCCTAGGTAAGAAGAAGAAGAAGAGCTTATAAGTGGTGAGACCTTCCATATCCCGAGTCCACCTTTCATCATCAGTCTTGATTGTAGTGAGAACCAATCACTCTGCTTGAGATTCATATCCGTCCAGTCCAGGCCAGGTCAATTCCAGCCTGGAGCTCTGTCACTCTTGCCACTGCTAACTACCTAGTTAGTACTTAGTAGTAGTTATCCATTATCCGATCTCTCCCCTCCCCCTCCTCTCACTCTTTCTCACACACACTCTCTCTCTCCCTCTCACTCTCTCCTCCCATCCTCCCATTCTGTACATTCATTCCTCCTTTACCGGTCTTGTGGACAAAAATTGTTTTCCTCACCTCATCTGCCCTGTAGCCACACTGATTGGGTGCTCGTGGTGATTGCTCATCCATACTTCGCAATCCCGGGGATTCACCCAACGGGGAAACACAGCCGACTGTCCACCATCCATCGGTAGGTACAATGGATCCAATTCCATGCGTGGTAGAATCGGAGCTTTAAACGCTTGGACGACGGCCAGCATCCACCCGCTTCTCAAACCCAGCGCCGCGATTTTTAAGGCTGACAACGGTCCAGATGGGCCAGCTTGGAGTTGTTTGAGATTCACACTCGATCTATTCTATCTTCTTCTCTCCTTCTCTGCGTCTCTTCTTCCCACCAGCCCCCCCACCCACCTCTATCGACGGTCATTTCCTCGTCCACCGCACACGCACTCTCTCACCCTTCTATTCTGACTGCGCCGGTCGCATTTACGCTTCCTCCATTCTTCTTTGCGACAACCACCATGGCCTCGATGAACGGTGGCCCCATGCCATTGGACCTCACGAACGCAAATCGTCAGACACTTCCGCCAGATGGCTCACAGAGTAAGTTCACTCTCCTCCTCTTTCTCTGAGATCATTATTGCAAGATTTGCCTCTTCTTCGGCCTTTTCTGGGTCCAGATGCTTGATGGTCCGTGACCCGTCTTTCCATGGTTCGCGCTGTGGAAGTCAGTGTGGCATTGGCTCTGACTCAAAAGTCTCGACTGTCTTGCGGGCACTCATTCCGCTTTCCGTATCCCGACTGTGTCGCGTATCTCCAGCTAACTTGCGACTCAATAGGCCAACCCGGATCTCGACCTTCTACCATAGGCGCCGATTTCCTCAAATTCTTTGGTGGTACGCAGAAGAAAGTCACGCGAGGTGTGTGAGCCCACGGTCCGATCCGTTTACCTTATCAGCTCTAATTTCCTCCCCCGCGCTAGATGGGCAACCGGCAAAACGACGAGGTCCGAAGCCGGATAGCAAACCGGCCATGACCCGACGACAGGAACTGAATCGCCAGGCCCAGAGGTACGTAACCGGTTCACCTGGGGTAATCATTGTTTGTATACAAACGGTTGGCGCAGAACCCATCGGGAACGTAAGGAACAGTATATCCGATCGCTGGAGACGGAAGTGTCCCGGTTGCGAGAGGCCTACACGCAGGAGATCTCGGCCGCCAATCTAACGGTCGTGCAACATCGAGACATGGTGCAAACGCTCTCCGACGAGAATAATATTCTGAAAGAGATTCTTGTGGCCCATGGTATCAACTTCGAGCCGGAACTCGAACGTCGCAAGGCGGAACGCGGGAGCATGGGCTATCATTCGAGTCCTTTTGCCAGTAGCAGTGTCGCCTCGCAGCCGAGCAACGTCGCCCCTAACGGAGGTCCCCTCTACACCACGCCGCCCACGACGGTCTCTGCCAGCCTGAGTCCGAGTACGCATGGCGTTGAGCAGATCGATGTGTCGCCCACTCAGGAGCTGGCGCCGCCTCATTCAGCCTATCAGGCCGCACCCTGTGACGCCTTGGCCACTCTCGATCAGATCGCTCCCGCCAGCCGCGCCCCGATCCAGCTTCCCGGCATCTTCGAGGCGGATCCTCAGCTCCAAATCGATTTCATCTTGACGTAAGTGTGTTTTCTTGGTGACCAATCCCATGCGACTGACGTTGATCCAGACTGGAATCGCCCTGTCGAGAACACACCGACTACCTCTGCCGCCGATCGATCACCGAGGCGGACGATGAAGACATGCCGTTCTCAGGGCATGCGCTGATGGCCACCTGTCCACCCCCCAGCTACATCGCCACGACGACGAACGAGCAAACCTACCCACACAAGACGTACGACCTGCCGCACGTCAATTTGACCACGCTCCTCAATCTCAGCCGACAATTGGTGACGGAGGGGCAGATCACGCCGATCATGGCGCTGCAATGCCTCAAAAATCACCAACTGTATGGTCGGCTGACTCGGGAAGATGTCAAAATCATCGTCGAAACCCTCAATACCAAGGTCCGCTGCTATGGTTTTGGGGCCGTTGTGGAAGACTTTGAGCTTATGGATTGCCTAACCAGTGTGCTGGATACGAAAGCCGAACAGCATGTTTGCAATCCGGGCGATGATCTGTCCTAGTCATGGTTGGCACTGATGAGCAAAAGTACTAGCGGAGCCCCAGGATTTCTCTTTCCCACCTCTCTTATTTTCCCTTTCCCCTCTACCTTCCTTCCAACGACATTGTACATAATCCGTGGTGATCCGTCAGGATTTCTGTTTCTGTTCCGTTTGACGCCAGCCTGACTTGCGCCAGGCCTCGCCATCCCGTGGTCTCGTCCCACCTCTCTGTTTCTGTCGGCGGGTGGCTGCGTAATGGGGACTGCTGTGCTCGAACTCAGCTCGCACCACCACGCCCTGTACAACCAACTGTGCAACACTGAAGATGTCCTGTAACGCCAATGTGATGATGACTACTAGATATATGCCATATTTTCTATTTTCTCTGGGCAGACTGACCACCGCTTCTATCAATCCAGGACCACCACACCGTCTTCTAATCCCGGACCCATCCCCAACTCCACTCCTTGAGCAATGTCCCCCAAGGGCTCCCCTCTCCGAATCCTTCGGATGACTTCCTCCACTGTCGCCCCCGTTCCCCATCTCAACGCCGCATACACCACCTCCAGCTCGGCCAACTGATCCTCTGCCTTCCGTGACGGGGCCCCGGTTCCGATCTCTTTTTCGATCGAGGCATACTGCTCTTCCTGCTCGCTGTCTGACTCTGGGGATGGCTGCTGATCCTCAATCTCCAAGATTTCGAGCCCCCGCGCCATGCCCAGCTGATCGCGCAATTGGTTCGCCCGGCTTCGGAGCCCCGCGATCAGCTCGGCTTGAGCAATGGCTTGACGATCGCTATCTGGAGCGGCGTACTTGCATTCTTGCGGGGTGTTGCGTGCCACACATGTGGCGCAGGGGGTGAGGCGGTTGCACTGGGGTTGTTAATGTTAGGCTTATAAGGTGCGATTTTCTTTGGGAGAGTGGTTCCCGATGGTGAAGCTGGAAGACAGATTTGGGGATTCTATGTAGTTTGATGAAGCTACAGGGGCATGCATGTACTAATAGGTTGAATGAAGACTGATAGACTGGTAGACCTGGGGTCTTGAAAGGTAGGTGGGTAGATTCGGTTTCTCTTTGGGGAGGGGAAGGAATTAAGTTGGATAAAAGGTAGTGAAACTTATATATCTGATAAAGCAAATAGGGGAAAGGGGGAAGGAACGGGAAAGAGAGAGAGACATACTTTCACTTTGCGGGCACGACAGGGAAGACAGGAGGCTGTGGGACGAGGCTTGGACCGATGGGAGATTTGTTCAGGCATTGTGTTTGAGTGTTTGAGGATGACTAGGTGATATCACTGGAGGGAGGGGAAGACAAGAAGTGAATTGGACTTTAAATTAAGGAATTAGAGTAAGAAGGAGAAGAGAGTTCAAGCTGGCTGTAGATCTTTTGGAGAGATGATTATTCTGGCTGGACTGGAGGCGGGGAAAGAGAAAGAAAGCATCCATGATTAGTTAGTTAACTACCAGGTAACTAGTTAGTTAGCGCGATGACTAACGGGGCTAGACTCTCCTACACTCCCACATCCTCTCATCTCTCACCTTCAGCTTCATACTCCTTCTTTCTGATTTTTGGCATCCCCCTTTCTCCTTGGCAAAACTCTCCGAGCTACACACATGTTCCCATTGCGGTTTCAAATCTTTTATACTCCGGTCTTGGCCCCAGGGCTGAATGAAAAAGGCTGCATTCCCTCTTTCTGGGGAAGATCTCCCCAACATCCAGCGGTCTCGGGTAGATCTACCAGGGGTCCGGAGATTACTACCACTACTACTACTACTACTACTACTACTACTACTACTACTACTACTACTAACTACTCTGGCAATCTAAACTATCTATCCTCCTATACTTTCACTCAAATCATCTCAGATTCACACCTCCTTTGCTTATTTTCTTGCTCAAATTTAAGCTCACATCATGCGAATGCTACCCCTCCTTTCCCCTGCACCATGGCATTCCCTCCACTATCCCTTGAAACAAGAGAGCATTCCTCCCTGTCGTTAACCTTGCGTCCAAGCCTGGCACCTCCTTGATTGACAGTCCCCATTTATATCCCCATGTGCTCCAACTTCTACCAGAACGTGCCGTCTGTTCTACATGCAGCACATGCAGTAAGGCCGCACGCACGTACACTCGCCCACCATGAAGAAGTCCCGGGCCTCTAGAAAGCAAACGCCTGTCTTGCGGCGTCGCAGTACTCGCAAGAAGACTCCATCCCCACCGCAATCACCGCTACCAACACAGAGGCCCCGCGTGCTATTTCTTGCCAACAGTGAACATGGGCAGACAAACTTGATTCTCGCATTATCTCATGAATTGCTGGTGCGAGGTGACACCGACGTGCACATCGCCTCGTTTCCGACCTTGAAACCACGCATCGAGAAGCTGCTCGTAGATAACAACCTTGACAGCGACGGAGTTCGCTCGCGCATTCATTTTCACCCTCTCAACGGCCCCTCGAACAGTGAGGCTTTTGCACGCACAGGAAAACGTACGATCTGCCATCCTCCCGGTTATCAAGGCGCATTGAAGGGGTTCAAATCGCTTTTTGAGGAAATCTGGGCCTGGAATGAGGAAGAGTATCTGCAGGTGTATGACAGCTGTCTTGAGACAGTCCAGGCTATCGAACCGAGCGTTGTCCTCGTCGACTGCTTCTTCCCCCAGGGACGAGACGCAGCGTATAATGCGGGCCACCAAGCTATTGTTCTTTATACGACCTCCTTGTCCCATGTGGTGTATGGGCTCCAGCCTTTTGCTGGATGGGCGTGGAAATTTCCCTTGTAATTCGCTATGCTTTCCCGATGAACCAATGCATGTGGCTGACTGTGCACCAGGCCAGGGACAGACTTTCCCTATCCACTTCCCTGGAGCCTTGTGCCTTCCAATACCAGGGCCGCCATGGATGTCGCCAAGCTTTACCGCCGTAGCGGCCGTCAACGACAGATTCGTGAATGGCGGAAGCGACATGGTATCCAGGGCCGATTTCCTTTTGCGGATTCGTGGCGGCCCGACCGATTTCATCTGGCTCCAGGTCTGAAAGAGCTGGATTGGCCGATGGAAGTCCCCGAGAATGTCCTCCCCTGTGGTCCCATTCTATTACCCGTTGCACCTGTCAAGACGCAGGATCCGGAGCTGCATCGGTGGCTCCACCGGGCACCTACAATCTTGATTAACCTGGGGACCTTGTATGCGCCAGATCCAGTGATGGCTAGAAATATCGCTTCAGGGGTGAGGAGTTTTCTGGACTCACGGACGGATAAGTTCCAAGTGCTGTGGAAGCTTCCAAAACATACGCAGGATTGCGCGCATGTTTTTGAAGAGGCGGAAGAAATACTGGCTGCTGAGATCAAAGATGACCGGGTGCGCATTCAACCATGGTTTCAGGTCGAGCCATTGGCAATGTTGCAGACAGGGCAGATTGTCTGTTCCGTGCATCATGGTGGTGCAAACTCATGGTACGAGGCTATTCAGTAAGTTTTACTCTTCGACTCAGCGGAGTAGAGATATTAATACGTTCCAGGTCTGGCATACCTCACGTCGTTCTTCCAGGTTGGCAAGACTGCTATGAAAATGCTGTGCGTACAGAGTGGCTCGGAATCGGCGTGTACGCAAACAAAACAGCTGCTCCAGCAGTGGATGCAGATGAGTTCGGCCGGGCTCTAATCAGGGTCGTCGGCAATGTCACAATGCAGGCCAAGGCAAAGGAATTATCTGCACTGTGCTGCAAAAGAGAAGGACGAGTCGTAGGTGCCGAGAAGATCGCTGAGTTGGCATACCACCCGGAGAGAATGGCCTTGCCGATCCCAGAAGTCAATCAGTATCCGAAGGACAAGCTGTGCACAATCAGGAATAAGTTCGGAGGTATTCTAGAGACCGTCAATCGTCCTCATTTGGACAAATATGCAACCTCAAAGTGAGTCTTCCCTCTCTGCATTTGTTTCAATATGCAAATCAAGTGTCCATGATTTCTAACCACAAGAACCAGAGTTTATACTGCTGCCAGCACACTCTTCGTCGCCCTTACAACCAACACGTCCCTCCTCCTTCCTATCCTCGGCTACGCTCTTCTAATCCTCGTCCTTGTCCCATCTCTTCCCATCCCGCTTCTCATCCGCATTTTGTATCCAGTCTACGTCCTCATGATAACCTACTTCCCTCCCACCTCTCTCCCCTCTTTTCCTTCCCCGTCCTCCGCCGTTCGAAACTCTCCTCTCTGGTCACTCTATGCCAACTACTTCCCTCTCAAGCTTTATCGCAGCACTCCCTTGGCTCCTTATCAAAAGTACATATTCGGATACCACCCACACGGCATTTCCATCCGCGGTGCCATCGGCGCCCTTGCCACCAAAGGCGCCGGCTTTGACACGCTGTTTCCTGGTCTCAATCACACTCTCTTGGTGTCGGACAAGGTCCTTCGCGCTCCCCTGCTGCGCGAGTACGCACTCTCTTTGGGCATCGGCAGCGTCAGTCGCGCGTCATGCATCAAGCTCCTGTCGTCCGGCGGCCACGACGGCAACGGACTTGGGCAGGCGATCACCATCTGCGTGGGTGGCGATCGCGAGGCGCGCATCGCCCGTCCTGGCCGCATGGATTTGGTGTTGGGGGTGCGCAGGGGCTTCATTCGCGTTGCGATCGAGATGGGGGCGAGCCTAGTGCCGGTGGTGGCTTTTGGAGAGAACGAGGTCTTTGACGTCGCGTATCCCGAAGAGAATGATGCAAACAGCAGCGAGGTAGCTTCGAGCCACTGGGAGGGTGAAGGCCAGAAGCAGCAGGACGGTGACCGGGAAGGCCTGTTCACGGCAGGTGCGAAAGCCTGGAAGGCTATCACCGGCAAGTCGACTCGGGTGATCAGCGGACGGTGGGGAGTGACGGTGCCGTTCCGCAAGCCAATCCATGTGGTCGTCGGGAAACCGATCCCGGTCAAGGAGCAGCGGTATGTGCAGGACGAGGCTTATGTGGAGGAAGTGCATCGGATGTACGTGGAAGAGTTGCGGCGGTTGTGGGAGGAGTGGAGGGATGTCTTTGGAGTTAAGAAGGAGGTGCGGTTTGAGATTGTGCAGTGAGGTTCATTAACTGGTGCTTGGGCGTCTTCTCTTTGGCGTATCATTCTAAGTAGGGTTCGGAGAAATGAAGGACAAAAAGTTATATAGCTGTGATATGCTTGATATCGTCGAATACTACCGTACATCCCTATACTGCGCTTGTGTACGTAGGACAAATGCAACAACAATGGAGTGAGCCGATGTACGAGACAAGAATCGTCTACAGGGTGAAATTGCCAAGTGAGGAAATAAGTTTGGAAAGCATAGATAGTCGTTCATAAACCTAAGAACTTTTGACGTGGACAGGACGGAAAAAGAAACACAGCGAACCAAATTCATGACTAGGATATAATGATGGAGGTAGAAAACCGCCCAAAAATCTACTCCTCATCCTCCTCGGCGGCCTCCTGCTCCTCGGCGGCGACCTCCTCATCCTCCTCGAAGGTGGTGGGGGGCACGCTGTAGAGGCGGAGGACGGGGCGGTTGGGGTCCTTGATGAGGACGTACTTCTTGACCTTGTCGTCGTCCTCGTCGGCGTCGAGGGCGCGGATGCGGTCGACGATGGTGCGGACGATGCCCCAGCCGTTACCGAGGTTGAGATTCATCTGGGTGGCGAGGTCGCGGGGCTTGTAGCCGACGACTCCGAGCACGACGTGGGCGGCGGCGGAGCGGGGGTTGGCGCGGGAGACGAAGCCGAGCTTCATGGCGTCGGCCTTGGCGAGGATGGCCTGGGTGGTCCAGCGGGCGAGCTTGGAGGAGTTGTTCTTCATCTCGGTGGCGACGACGGCACCGCGCTGGGACCAGAGCTTGGAGCGCCAGTCGAGGGCGCCGCCGGAGCCCTGGGCCTTGCTGTCGAACTCGTTCAGGGCCTTGACGACCAGCTGCTGGTCCTCGCCGCCGGTGGGGTTCTTCATGATGGCGTCGATCTCGGTGCGCACGATCATGTGCACGGGCTCCTGGCCCTCGTCGCGCTCCAGCGACAGGTCGAAGCGCCGGTACTTGTAGCCCTTGGAGGCCAGGGGCTCGGTCTCCTCGGCGGCGTTGTAGAAGGGGTTGGGGTGGGCCAGCTCGACCTTGCTCTCCTCGGACTCGACCACGGTCTGCAGGGCGAAGTTGTGGTTGATGAAGGTGGCCTCGAGCGCCAGGGCGCTGGGCGTGTTAATGGCGGCGCCCTCCTGCTTGCTGGCGGCGGCGGCGGTGGCGGCGGACGAGTCGGCCAGCTCCAGCGGGGCGTCGGCGGCGTTCTCGTTGACCGTGACCAGGTCCAGGGAGGCGCCGTCGCGCTTGTCGAAGTAGATCTTGCCGCCCTGGTGGACGATGACCAGGTCCCACGAGTAGACGCTGCGGGGGGCGCACATCAGCGTGGACAGGATGTCGGCGGACGCGAACACCGTCGCCTCGTTCTTCTCGGCCAGCTCCTGGATGACGGGGTCCTGCGAGGTCGTGACGTTGTACGCGGCGCGGTCCAGCGCCTGCAGCCGGCGCTCCGCGTTCTTGACCGGCGCCTTGTCGTACGACCGGTCGTAGTAGTACATGAAGCCGTACGAGTCGACCTCCTCGCCCTCCGGCGCCTCCATGTTCAGCTTCGACAGCCGGCTGAAGTCCACCTCCTCCAGCATCGTCCAGTCGGGCCGCACGGCCACCGACGCCTCGCGCGTGCGCTGCGGCTTGTCGTAGTCCTTCCACCCGAACCGACGGCCCCGGTTGCCCCGGCCGCCGCTGCGGTTGTCGTAGTACCGGTCCCCGCCGGCGCCCCCGCGACCCCCGGCACCACCGCCGCCCACGCGCTGGAAGCCCGCGCGTCCGCCACGCTGGGCGCCGCCGCGCTGGGCCCGGCCGCGGAACACCGTGCCGCCGCCGCGGCCGAAGGTGCGCTTCGTCGAGCTGCGGGTGTTGTCGACCACAGAGAAGGAGGATTCGTCTTCGGCGACCGCCACGGAGAACAGGCTGGAGGATCCGGCGCCGTAGACTTGCTGGTCTGGAGGGTTGGATGGGGTTGTTAGTTTGGTGGTCTCCACACACGATACTTCCTTCCCCTTTTCTTTTGTCTTCGTTTTTTCGCCTTTCCGCCGTGAAACACAAGAAAGAATGGAAGCGTGCAACGTACCTCGGAAGTTACGGTTGTAAGCCTGACGACCGGCCCGGTTGGGGTCCTTGGACTCGGCCGTCCAGTCGGCCATGCGGCCCAGCTTGTCACCCTTGGAGAAAGGAGCATAGGGGACGCCGTCGAGCATGTTGTCGGCGGCGGAGGCGGGGCCCCAGGTGTCGTCGGCCGGCAGGGCGGCGACGATGTCGGCGATGGAAATGGGAGCCATGATTATGTGTATAGCTCTGTGTGTGAGGAGAGGTTAAAGGGAAAGATGACGGGGGAAAAAAAAAAGACGACCCAGCGAGATAGGAGAGGTGGTCTGGGGGAGGGGCTGGTCGGTCAACGGATATTGAAATGAGATCGACTTTGCCAATTCGAGGGAATTTTTGTGTCGCGAGTTTGTGGCTGGTGGAGGCTTGGCATGTGGCTGGTGCGGATGGCACCGCCACTGGAGATTTGTGTACATTGTGGGGGTGTGCTGCTGAGTCATTAATGCGCGCATAACTTATCGGGCTGCTATCGCTATCAGTGTTGTGTCCACATGCTTGGCGGGTTTGCATTCTGTTAATGCTTCCATGCTGTCTCTCAACATAGACTGCACAGCCATTTGTCATGGTCTAACAGCTTAATACTTTATCTATATGAGTAAGAGTAATTATCACCCCAAGCATTTGAGATGAGTTCGGAGCTGATAATGATGCAGATCATTCTCCTGGGATCGTCGCGGAGTCGAGATGCGTCCGCCAAACCTAGTGGAGTTGGGGATGATGCGTGATAATCCCAGAATGCTCAATGATCGACTAACAAGTTCATTGGATCGACAAAATAGTTGTCTTAGTTATCTACCTCAGTATCCCTGCGATAAGCGAGGCTGCTCGATACTTTCTGGAGCTGCAGCTAAGTCAACTATGGTATGGGCGCATCCGAAATCGGTGCCACACCATTAAACAAGGTCGATCTTTTGTCCAGCGAAGATCATCAATACTTATCAATTCGATTCTGCCACGGGCACCTCACAAGTATCACAGATCCAGGTCCACAGCAGCGCCCACACGCATCGTTATCATGCTCCCCGATGTTCAGCTACTGTGGGTACGCCCGCTGATTTGGTACCAGAAAAGCACTCAGACCGGGTGGCTGATAAGACAGGGACGGACGACAGGCCCGAGACCACACGCCTCAATTATGAGATTGCCTTTTACATGTTCCTCGGTACCTGCAGCATGACCGTCTCTGCCAGGTCTCGCCGTCCATCCTGAATCGACTGTGAATATCACGTTGCCACCACTGTAATGGCCGGCATCCGTCCCAGCCGTTTGTTCTCTGCATGGAGAATTGGCTGAGGACTGGATTTTGAGGCTTCTTCCATCCGGATGTCCGACTGCGCTAACGGAGGATATTGTCTAGTAGTTCTTGGAAATGCTGTATACTCTGATGGTTATTCCTTCGAGTCGCTGAAGATAAATAGCACATTCCACCCCAGCTCAACAACACTACAACACAATCAAATCACAAACCTCTCTTACAGCAAGCCATACCTCTCATAACCACACAACCCCAACCCCAACCACGACCATGAAGCTCTCCCTCACCGTCTCTATCCTGACCATCGTCGGCCTCGTCGCCGCCGTGCCCGCCCCCCAGTCCGACTCGCAGACCCTTGAGAACCAAGTCAAGGGCGTCGCCGCTCAGACCACCTCTACCACGAGCGAGAGCACGGTCGACCAGTCGCAGTGCATCGCCCCGGTGCTGTGCTGCGGCACCTTGACCACTCCCTTGGACCCGCTCCTGGACCCCATCCTTGCGGATCTGGACATCAACGCTGGCAGTATTGTCGGCTCCGTTGGTCTTCTCTGTACGTCCGTTTTCTAAGTGGTTTGTCATTGTTGATGCTAACGCTATGGTTGTAGGCAAGCCTTACGACACCACCTGCACAACGAAGCCGCAGTGCTGCTCCGAGGTGAACCTCTTGGTGAGTCTCCCCTAAACATCACGCCTCAGTGGAAAGGTATACTAATAAAAAATAGAACGGGGTTCTGGCACTGGGCTGCTCTGCTCTGGAGCAATAGTCTCCCTTCCAACCAGGAGTCCGCAGGATGCATGTTACGTCTAATCATACCGGGGGATGCATACCCCGAACATCTGTTCTTAAGTTAAATAGCCAATACTATATACCTTAATCAACCCTCATGTGTACCTCTTCAACCACCCCCTATAGAACTAATACGACAACCCCACCAATTCCTCCGAATGACTCTTTTCAAAAGGATACGCGCTCTCCACCTCCCTCGCCAACGCTGCATGGGCCTCACTCCTCGCCTCGATCTTCAACCCCGCCGGCACGACAGGATGACTGATCACCCCCGGCAGGAACTCAGGCTTCCACTCGGGGATTCCTTCGGGCCCCTGGATCCGAAATACCGTTAGCGCCTGGGCAATCGTCAGGTAGACGTTCGCATCCGCCAGGGTCCGTCCGGGGCAGACTCGACGCCCGAACCCGAAGACCAGGAGATGGGGGTCTCGTTGGACGCCACCCCCGCCACCACCGCCCTCACCACCAACACCAGCACCGGATGCAGCAGCAGCAGCAGCAGCATCAGGCAGGAACCGTTCGGGCCTAAACGCCTCCGGATCAGGATACACATCCGGGTCGTGGGTGAATGCCCTGGCCGACAAAAAGTTAGCATACCAATTTTTATCAAGGCCACAAAACCACCACCCCCTCTCCGCGGCGCGACAAAACCAAGCAACCGGGACAAAGAAAGAGGAGGGAAAAGGCAAAACAAACCAAATGTTCGCCAAAACCGACGCCCCCTTCGGGATCCAGTACCCCTCATACTCATCCTCCTGGGTCACCACGTGCGGAAGATCCATCGGCACGACGGGATGCCACCGGAAGACCTCCTTGATGAGTGCGTTCAGGTAGGGCAGGTTCTCGCGGTCCGCGAAGGTGGGCAGCCGCGGCCGATCCGCTGCCCCGAGGACCGAGTCGAGTTCGGCTTGGGCTTTGCGCTGCACGTCCGGGAAGAGGGCCATGGCGAGGAAGAAGGTGGCGATTGAGGAGACGGTCTATCCCACCCACCGTTTCGTCAGTTTCGTCAGTTTCTGGATTGGTCAGTTTGGAGAAAGGGGGGGGGGGGGGGGTTAAACCGTATCCGCTCCACCAGCATACAACGACGCCGCCGACCATTTGACGGTGACCTCGGCCTCGGAGCCGGGGGGCAGCGCGGGCTGGTGCGTCAGCAGGTTAGACAGGAAGGACGGCGTGTAGCGGCCGTGGGCGTGGTGCATCTGGTGCCGCACGAAGGCGTAGGGGAGGTCGCTGAAGGCCGTGACGGTTCGCTTGTACCCGCGCGCCGTGCGGCTGAAGCTGCCGCCGGGGAGCCAGGGGGGGAGGTGTCTCACTACCCAGCCCCAGCCCACAGTCGATTAGATCAGATCACACCCCTCCAAAAAAACCAATTTCAAAATTCCCAGAGGGAAGACAGGACATACAGAACGGAATGTAATCCACCAAATACGTCGCCGGCAACATCGCCACCGAGAAATCCTCCATCGCTCGATCGGCCAACTCGACCAGCGGATCCCGGCCGTGCGGCTCGACCGTATACCCGTATCCGATCTTGAGGATGATGGCGCCGGTCTCTCTGAGGCTTGGGCATTAGCTTTGCCTCGCTTTTGTTCTGTTGCCACCGGGTTTTTTTTTTAAATAGACAACGGCCCACGATAGAGAAGGACAGGGGGGGGGGAGGGTGCGAACTTGCGAATATGCTCCATCAACCGCCCCGGCGCGTCCAGCACGCGCATCAGAAACCGGCCCACCTCCGCGGTCTGCACCGCATCGAACCGGCCCACCGACTTGTTCGACCCGATCTCGCGGTGGAGGTTCTTGCGGGTGGCGCGCAGGCGGTCGGTGTTTTTCACGGAGCCGAGCACGTTGTGCCATCCGGACCTGGGGTTGTTGCTTGTCAGTCTTCGGGTATATTGGGCATGGAGTTGGGTAAGATTAGAAGCGCGAGGGGAGATGCTCACATCTCGGCGAAATTCTGCTGCGGGCGGGAGGAGTAGATCGCCGAGCGCTTTTCCAGTAGCTCGACTGCATGGCGGGCCTCGTTGACGATGATGATGGTTTGGCCGAGGACGCTGAGGGAGCTGATGGGGCCTTTTTTGTTTTTTCTCTCTTGTGAGCGGGGCAGGTTTTGTGAACACGGGGTGAACATAAACATACCGTAGAGCTCTTTATGCTTCAGCCAGTGTTTCCAGTCCTGTTGGCCGGGGCGAGGGAGGTCGTTGAGATTGCCGATGATGGGTCGGCGGGGAGGGCCTGGGGGCAGAGGCGCGTGCTTTTGGCGCGAAGTTAGGGTTGTCGTCAGGTAGTAGCCCGCTACGAGGAGGAGGGCGGCGAGGAGAGCGGAGATCATGCTGTGGGTTGGGTCAGATTGAGGGGTGTTTTGACTTTGACTGAGTTCATGGCTATTGCATGCTAGGGGAAGGGTTTCTTATATCATGTTGTTCATGTGAAATCATCGAAAGAGGGGGTTCTGCAGCTGAGAACTTATTGCAGACTGAATCCTCCGACCGGTGGGAGTGATTGGTGTGCAGAGCGTAATCGTGCATGAGGGTTACCGGGGGGTGCGGTCCGGATGAGGATATCATCGACGGCTGCATAGATTAAGACCGCTGCTGCGCAGTATGATTGGCTTTGGGGGTATGCTGCTGTATAGACGTAGTAGACATAGCAATAGACTGAGTAATGGGAGAAGCATTGATGGCGGAGGGTCAATCTCTCGTTCCACTACTTGCTGGCTTGAAGTGAACATAAGAGAAAGGCCTCATTCTCGGAAGATACTTCCAGTCCAGCCTTGGCACCGACCCCTCTGAGCCCTACTCCTCTATCTATCCATCCCCCCCAGGCAATCCCCTCCCAATCACAAATACTCCCCAAACCACGCCACCGCCTGCTGAAACGCCTGCTCCTTCGCGAACCTCACCCGCCGCACCGCGAGATCCCCGCGCACCGCAAACCCATGCTCCACATCGGAGTACACACTAATCTGCCAGGGCTGATCCTTCTTACCCAGGATCTCCTCACTCTCGCGTCTCTTCTCCGCGGAGAAGATCGGATCATGTTCTACCCAGGAAAAAACACCATTTTTTTTTTTTCTCCCCCCCCCCCCCCCGAAAATCCCCCGTCCTCAACCCCAAAAGCAACCAAAAAGAAAACTCACGCGCAGCAGCAACACAAAACGGCCCCTCCACCGCCTCCAACTCCTCGGCCGTCATCATCGTCGGATGCGCCGTAAACCCCACATCCAAGCCCCCATCCACCTTCAAAAACCGGGCCACATACTTGCCCCCAAAGCAGTACCCGACGCCGCCGACCCGCTCACACCCCAGCGTGGACCGGATGTGGTTCAGGGCCGTGTGGATGATGGGGTCGGTGTGCGCCGGCTGGTGGCCCTTGGCCCACTCCATGATCTGGAAGCCCTCGGGCCGGTTGAGGGGGACGCTGTCGCCGGTGAAGAGGTCGGGCATGAGGACGAGATACCCGGCGGCGGCGAATTGGTCGGCGAGGAGCTGGGCGTTGAGGAAGCGGTGGCCGATTACGTCGGTGAGGAGGAGGATGGCTTTTTTGGTTGCGGTCGAAGGGTGGGTGATGTAGGTTGAGACTGTTGGGGGTGAGTAATTCTGGTTTGGACCGGGGGGGGGGTGGTTTTACTGTTCTCGATGTCTTGGATTGTGCCTTTGGGTTCGCCTTCGTGGAGCGTACCCGTGATGCAGCATGTTGAGAGGTTGTTGGAGGTCATTTTGGGGGTCTTGAGGGGGGCGGGGAAGAGTAAATTGGTGTTGAGGTTGAGGCCGAGAGAGGAATTGAGGAGGAGATGGAGATATAAGTACTGGGTACTCCGTACTGTACGACAGAAAGGTCGAAGAGGGGCAGATGGCAGATGAATCCCTGTTCCCTGTTACCTCCGATGCAACAAAATCCTATGTCCGAATTTGGAGATTAGCGGCGTGGTTTAGCGCCCGGCAGGACGGACATAACAGCTCCCAGCGCCCCAGTAGCATGGAGATAAGAAGCTTTGCTTGGAAAATCTTACTCTATTTCTAGTGTAGTATATGAAGCCGTCAGCGCTAGGCTGGGAGTCTGACATCTGTATCGTTTGCGGTTAGTCCCGCGATGGCCGGCTGCACGCCGTGGTTGCGGTGGGGCGGTGGCTCGTATTTCTTCGAGCTGTACACGCGACATCTCTTACCCCCGACTGTCAGGGTACTAGAGGTTCATTCCTACAGCCCAAAGAAGCAAGCCATTAATATATTCAATGACATATGACAGGGATTAGAACAAGCTATATATTGTAAGATCGAAAGCCACCAACATGTACACATTATCATTCATCAAGAAAAGGCGCAATCGGCGGCTCCACCAACCGCCATCACCTCACTGGTAGAGATCCGGGTACGCAGCCTTGACCATGTCCGCACCCTAAAGCAATCAGCATCGGTTCACGACTCTCAAAAAGATCTGCTACTCACCTTCTCTCCAATCATATACACCGCATTCTGGATGCGACAATCCGGAATGATTGGGATGATAGATGCATCGATCACGCGAAGCCGTTTGACGCCATGCACGCGCAATTCCGAGTCCACCACACCCTGCTCAATGGACTGGGAAAGCCGGGCTGTACCACAGGGGTCTTGCCAACGTATTAGCCAGGGGTTTACTCATCCACAGGAAGGATGACTCACGATATCCAGTCTGCGAGTGCTCGAGAATCATCTTCTTCATCGCCTCGTCCGAGTGTCGCGGCATAGGCCAGGGGTAGTCCTCCCGGATCACGTCCTTCATGCCCTCGCCGTGCATCAGGATCTCGTCCACGAACCGGACCCCTTCTCGCAGCGCGATGATGTCGAGATCGTTCGAGAAGAAGTTCAGGTTGATGTTCGGCTGGTCGCGAGGGTCGGTGGAGTTCAGCTTCACCTCGCCGTTGCGGGAGAGTGGGCGGAGAAGGTCGACGATGACCGTCAACCAGTCACCCTCCGTGGGCACGGGGAAGTGCCACTGAAAGGCATCGGAGAACATGGGCTTTGTCATGGTTAGTATATTGGCTTCCACGAGGTTGACTTCGGGTAAATACGGACCACAAAGTCGATCTCGAAATGCGGCTGTCCCTCCGGACCGAACGGATCCTTGCCACCGTTCTGCTCCTTCGCCTCCCGGTACTCCTTGTATTTCTCCAGACGGTCATCAATGCGTGGCAGTCCCACCAGCTCCAGCAGTCCGCTGCTGTAGGGCCCCTGCCTACTCTCCCGGTACTTCTGCACGGCGGCGGTGTGCGCGGGCCCGGCCCGGAGCAGATGGCTATCCAGCCCCATGCCCTCCTTCAGCCGGAACACATGCGGCATGATGGGGTGGTCGAGGAGGTTCTGGCCCACGTGCTCCGAGTGGACCACGGGCTCGATGCCGTGGCGCACGAGCTCCTTCTTGGGCCCAATGCCCGACAGCATCAGCAGCTTGGGGGTCTCGAAGACGCCGCACGCGACGATGACTTCCCGCTTGGCCTCGATGATCACCTCATCCGACCCGTCCGGCCCCAGCACGGTGACGCTCACGGCGGTGTCGCCGTCGAAGTTGATCTTCTTGGCGATGCACGAGGGCATGATCACCACGTTCGTCTTGCCGGTCAGGTACGCGCCGCTGGACGATCGCTCGCCCCGGTAGATGCTGGTGACGCAGTGCGTGAGCCCCTCCATCTTGCCGGAGTAGATGTCCTCGCTGACGGGGTGGCCGGCGCCGGTCCAGGCCGCGGTGAGTGCGTCGCGGAAGGGCCGCAGCTCGGGGACGAGGTCCGCGTGCGAGACGTGCACCGGTCCGTCGCGACCGATCTTGGCCAGCTCGTTGGGATACAGGTTGTCGTCGTCGTGGTATGTCGCTGGCTGTTCGACATTGTTCACGTTAGTAGGCGATTCTTGCTCGTAACCGTCATTATAGATGCTGATGCTGAGGACGAACTCCGCACCTTGCTGAAATACTCCTGGCACCCATCCCACGTCCAAGACGGACCTCCGTACTCGGACCACGCGTCAAAGGTACCCTTACTACCCGGGATCCATGTGTAGTAGTTCAAGCAGCTACTACCCCCGAGGACTTTTCCACGGGTGTTGGGCTTCTCGGCGCGCTCGTAAGAAGGCCTGTTGATCATGGTCGTTTTGTAGGCCCAGTCATGCTTGCTGCCGCGCAGGTCAAAGGCGGTAGCCGGGGTGGTGATCTTCTCGATGTCCTGAGGGTTTCTATCGTCTCGGTCGTTTGCTTTAGTCGGGTGTTCTAGTCATACTGTGTGCTTGGAGGGTCGGCCACATACGCGATACCCGCTTCGATGACCAGCACGCGGACCTCGGGGTTCTCGGCCAGTCGCCCGGCCACCACATTACCAGCAGTACCTCCTGGTGGGATGTCAGAGAGATACTTGTCAACAAACGAAGAAACGAGTGAGACGTACCGCCGACAACCACAAAATCGAAGCTATCCGCGCTGGGAACCGTCATTATGCTCGATGCAGGGGAATTGAGATGCGATTAGTTATTAAGGGATGAGAAGAGAGCTGATCTATTGCTCCTTTGCGAAGCTCAACAGCCAAAGCTGTCTCTATATAGCGACCGTCCGTCAAGCCCACGAAGCCCATCGCAAACACCAGAATGCTGCATCGCCATGACGTATGGGAAGATGATCCACCTGCCAGCCGTTTCACCCGGCCCACTCGGGAGGTGCCAAGATTTTTCTTACTCGTGTCCTGACAAACAGGACTGGAGCTTCTCAGGGCATGGAGTCAAATGCCGAGTTATCTCCAAGAAATAAGTCTCCGAAGTTGGCGGCAACGCGCCGTTGACGGGCTGCGCAGTTGCGCCCCACGAGTGGAGGCACGGGGCAGAATAAGGCCGCGCTATCAGGAGGGTTTGGATCGTCGGAAGGGTCGGAAACACAATTGCTTGTTTTTGCACCGTTGCGGCGGCCATTTATAATCAAGCAAGAATAGACGCCATCAAGACTTTATACATCATCATCATCTTCCCTCCTACTCTGTAATGTTCTGACGTTGCTGTTGCGGGGCTCGATCGACACGAGCAATCGCCGAGGCTCAGCCGGGTGAAACTGGGAAAATCAAGCTTTATCATTGCAGGGGTCAGAATCAGAATTGTGAGGGACCCAAGGTTGGGGTCTAGAACAGGGTTCGTACCTTGTCAAGTCCTCCTCGCTGGAGCTGGACAATCCCATCGCTCGTCGGACACAGGTAAGCCCGACAGGTTGAGTATCGCAAGAGCTGAAGGTGGCACGCTTAAGGAAAGCCGGGGCGGTGCCAGCGTAGGCGATGGTTGTATTCTGTCCACCGTCACATGACAGACCATTTATACACACACACGTAATAACCACGCAGCAAATTATGTAGATAAGTAGTGTAGTAGATGTAAGGGTAGTGTAGAGGAAGAGATTGCCCTTATTATTGAGACTACCAACTGGTCCTCCTAAATACAGGTGCCTGAGTGATACTGTTCACGTGACAGGGTCCCCCGGTTTCGAAAAAGGGTGTCCCACCCGTTCGTTAGAGTCGTAAAAACATAGAATCGTGAAATCGTTAGTGTCGTGAAATCATCAAACCCAATTTACTCGCCTTCGCCCTCGTCGTTGTCTCCGCCGGCGTTTTCCGAGTGATTGAGGATTTGTTTATGCACTATGTTGAGCTCCGTGCCCAGGGAATACCTGTCTGCAACCCACTCTTCGGGGCCGAAAAAACCGCACAAGTTCTCCTGAAGTTTGGAGGCACCTGAAGTTTGGAGGCACCTGAAGTTTGGAGGCAATGTTCTGTACCTCTGTCGCGTACACTGTAACGATTTCCGCGATGCTCTGGAGAATCGTTGGATCCTTCGGTACTGAATAGGCGCCGAGGTGGAAGAATGAGTAGAGCTGCAAGGAACGTTGCAGAAGTATGAGAGGGGCAGGGTCGGTTGGTTGGGGTTGGTGTTTGTGAGTGGCACGGTACCTTGCGTAGGTGATCAAGAATAACGAAGTCCTATTGATTGCCGTCTGTTATCGCACCCGAACAACCAACTTTTGACTGGCCCTAGGCTTCGCGAACCTAGATACCTGAATTCGCTGTCCGACGGAGGATAGAGAATACTTACCCCATAACATATCCCAATAGTTGCGTAAGTCCGCCCCCCCCACCATTGCCTTTCTCTCGGCTTCCACGATGACCACTTGTGTAGAAGATTTAATTCAGTCTTCATACCATGTCGAATAATCGGACGACCCAGCAATCTTGCCTATAGCAAGACCGTCGAGAATCGTCTCGACGCCGAGTCTCATCTCACGGACACGATTGCCTTTAGTGGCCCGCTGTGGGTGCACAACAGCACTCAGGACTCGATCGATCCTCATTCTCGCAGCTTCGACGTCTACGACCCCACTTAGTTTCTGCACGGTAGACTTGGAAGGAGTACCGCTTACCGAGACTCTGAGGGAATCGGACGCAGCCCTCCACTCAGAAACGGAAGGATCCTCGATTATACCGAAGTAAGAATGGATGTCTGTCAGTTCGAGGCTCCCGAAAGGAACCGAGTAATACTCGTCTCCGGCCCACGCGAGGGGTTTCTTGCAGAGGGCATTCATCTCCCTCATTTCTTTCATCGTCGTCGAACACGAATTTTTTGAGAATGCCTCTTTGATTGGGTTCGAAGGCGACTGGTGCCGGGGATCGAGTTTTTATTCAATTCGGGTTGATACGAGGCTCACGAATGACGCCCGCACAGGCGAGGTCATCCATGGAGTATCTGGCTGTGCCGCTTGCCATGGTATTGTCTTGGGGCTTTGAGAACAAATGCGTCGGACAGGAACACGCCGAAAGGTGACGAGTCTTTGTTGTTAGGAGCGTCAGCCACATAGCCTGTCAGAATTTCTGTCATACTTGACTTCAAGGGCTGAATCCCTTGTCTCCATTCCGGGCCAGATAAGTGTGATTCGGTATGTCTTCGGACTCGTACAATTTGGGCTTCATGAGGAGTTCCGATGGATTGTAAAAAAAAGTTGTGTAAAGGAAAGTTGTACAATGGTTGGTTGGCTAAGATGAGTAAGGAGCTAAAGACGTTGGCTTGGCGGTTGTGGTTCTACTTAACTGTCTATATCTCTGAGGCAGAAAGGTCCGGGGGTGAATATCTTTTCTAAACTCAAGGAAGGAGCGATCGTTACGCAGCGAGGACTATGTGAATACTGGTGAAGTTAGTGAATACATGTTCATTGAGAAGCTCAACCTATCAATATGAAGGTACTATACCTGGATGGATCACGATGCATGCGGAAAGTGAATGTCTGCAATGATGTATACAGTTAGTCTTGCTTCAGGGCGAAGGCAAACAAACGAGAAAGCTCTTTGCATTTCTACTAGTGAACCCAGTACTAACTTCGCAATTGGAGGGGGGGAGGGGGGCATTATCTCGGGGTCAGAGGGGTTTATACTCCGAGACGGTGTATGATTGAGCGAGTGGAAGAGGGGGCTGAATAGAGATTCTTGCAGTGTAACGCAGCTAACAAATGCCACTAATTACCCCTAAAGTCCGGCAGAGCGGATTTTATGTTAGTTGTGATTAGAGGAATACAGACAGACTAAAGACTGAGGCTTAAGCCATATCCAGGTAATGTACTATTCGAAAGTCAGAATAGTTTTATTGTATGGAACAGACATCTATTGCTTATGATAGATGTCCAGTCATCTCCCAGTATCTTAATTCTGGTATCAACGAGGCAGAATGTTATATGGAAGTACTGTACGAACTGGCAGAAATCACAGCCTGTCACAGGATAACCAATTTCACTTCCACCCCACCAGGACAATTTTGCGTCAATCATCCACCTACTGCCGACCTTAGGACAACCTCAAATTGCTCCATAAACCCCAGCACAATCCCCCTCGTAACCGTCCGATGCCGCCACACCAAACGCCCCAATACTGCAACCGCCCCCAACCATCCCGCCAAGCCCACCCCCGACAACGCCATCAGATCCCAGTTCCGCACCTTATACATCGGCATCCTCATATCCGCCGTCTGCAGATGCATCGGGCGGACCTCCTTTCCGTCCACAACCCGCAGCTCGGTGTCATACAGCACCTCCTCCACCAGATCCGCCGCGTAGTGCTTCCGGCGCGACGCCACCCTAGCAATTCGCTGCAGCCGCAGCGACTCGCGCGCGTACCTGCCGTCGACATCTTCGAGGATGCGGCGCGCCTTCTCGAAAATCTCCTCCGCGGTGAAGGAGAATTTGTTCAGCGACTCCGCGACGCCGCCGTGCACCAGCCGCGCTGTATTGGCTATCTGGTCCGAGAAGATCCCCATCGCCAGCATGGGCTTACCGTGGTAGAGACCCTCATTGGCGCTTGAGCCGCCGCCGTGGGTGAAGTAGAGGCGCACGGCCGGGTGGTCGAGAAGGGCGCGCTGGGGGGCGAAGTGGGGGAAGAGGAAGGCCGGGTGGTGGCCGGCTAGGAGGTCGGCTAGAGTGATAGTTCTCTCTCTGGACTCTTTCTTGCTGTCGACAGTGTTTGATAGCATCGGGGGAGAAGAAGGAGTTACGAACGTGAATGTGGCGGATGGGTCGAGGTCCTGTCGGCCGCTTTGGCCGACCGCCCAGATGACGCCGTCAATGACGGAGATCTCCAAAAGCCGGAACAGCGCGGTGAGAATCTTGGACGCGTCCGCCATAGAAAGGATGACATGCGTGCCGAGGGCAATGTAGATGACCTTCTTGCGATCGGAGAGGAACTTGGTGTAATGCTCGTCGCACGGCGGGTATGTGTCGCTGAGTATCGGGCCTACGACGGCCGCGAGCGGCGGCAGGTCGCGCGGGACCTCGAGTCCAAAGAATGAGTTAATGAAGACAAGGTAGTCGGGTTTGCGGGGGTTGGGAATGGAGTAGTACACGCCGTGAGTGCGACGCATTTGTTTCGTCCAGCGGAAGAAGCGGATGATCTCTCTCACGCCCTTGACGACTACGAGCTCGTTCTTCAGGCGGAGCCAGATGGAGGCGTGCTCGGAGGTGAGGGTTCCGTCCAGCTGAAAGCCCGGCTGTCCGGGGATGTAGCTGCACGGGAGCATCAAGGCTGGCATTTGTGGGTGCACGATGGCCACGGGCACTTGGTATTGGAAGTGCATGTCTTTGACGGCATCGACGAAGAAGTCCGCGATGATGAAGTCGGGACGGCGGGCAGGATCATCCAGGATATTCTTGAGGTGGTCGTAGGTCACAGGCCAGAAGGAGTCGAACATGTACTTCGAGGGCATGGCGCCTGCTAGGCCGACAGACATGTCCCATTTACGCATGCGCAGGTAATGCTCGCTTAGTTGCTGCTCGGTTGGACCGGCTCCGAGTATATGCAGCTGAGATATGAATGGGTAGTCTTTCGTCCAGTGCTCCTGGCCCTCCATGGTTGCGAAGTCGATTGTGTGGCCTCGCTCGGAGAGAACCTTGCCCAGTTCGAGGACCGGAGCTGGACCTGGGTTAGTAGGTGTACTCAATCTGAAGATGTGAGCGTACCGGCATGGGTAAAGCCACCCGTCGTTGCAACCAGGAGGATCTTGCGGGATGGATCTGCGTTATCGCTCATGGTTCCTTGAGGGCCTAGAGATGTAGTTCCATTGTACGTGATATGAACCGGCATTTTACACGGTATAAGTAGACAGAGGTGAGTCTCCGCTCAAAATCAGGAGACGATCCGATCATCCCGAGGGCTTTAGTCAGATCGGGGAAATGGTTCCATTGTCAGGCCATGGAGTGGATCTGCCTTAGTTCGGCGGGGTTAGCTTGTAGATGAAGCTTAAATTCGGAGCTTTATCTTGTCTTCATCTCACCCAGACATGAACCCAGGCAGCAATAGCAGCAATACCAACGATAAGAGTGTCTCCCTGCAGGGCTTTGGCCTTGTTGTGCTCATTATGCGACCAGTTTGACAGCAGAATAATAGGAAGACGAGAAAAGTTGCCATCCGGCAGGCAGTGCTCGTGTAATCCTTCCTCCCCGCCACGCATGCGAGTCTATTCCAGATCGGGAAGCTGTTGCGAAGCACTGGCACTGCACTGCACCTCTGGGCACCGCCCATTGACCGCATGATAAAGGGCTGTCTTACCTATATCGACCATTCGTATAGGACCCCTTGAAGTTGGAAATCTGGCAGCCTGATACTGGCGATTATAGCAACCAATGCGAGGCATCACCGTCGACATCCTAGATTAAGGTATATATACCACCTCTGAATCGTCTCGTCGCGTCAGCGCCCACTGCCGAGACCCATCCATATTTAATCGCCGAGCATAATTCTCGGCGACTTTCCAACCTTCCTCGTAAGATAACGACGTCCATCTCACTACACATCTCAATTCAAGAGTTCTACCATAATGGGAAAATCAAAATCAGCAACCACCAACACCACAATCCTGACCAATGCCTCGCCCACCATCCGCCGCTCCGCACTAACCGAGTGCTCTCTGTCCCACCTCACTCCCTCGGACTATATCGCCCGGAGCGTCCTCACGGCTGTCACCATCACCGGCGTGGGTGGCATCGACAGAACCACAGCCTCAACCTCGGCGTCAACTTCCGCCCCAGCCTGTTCATCCAATCCATCAGCAACGAGCATCAGCCGCTCCACCTGCACCAGCTGCACCATCGCACACTCCCACCTGCATCACTGCATCTTCGCCAACTGCACCCTCACCAACGTCTCCTCCAGCAAATTCGTGCAAGCCGACCACTGCACTCTAGAGAATGTCATCTCGCTCCGGAGATGCACCCTCAGCGACTCGATCATCGGCGAGTGGTCGTGGATGACGCGCTGCGAGGTGAGAGCATCACAAATTGGAGGCGGGAGTGCTCTGCGGCGGAGTACCATCGGCGACTGTCGCGTGACGGGCAGCCGGTTGAAGAAGGCAAGGCTCGTGAACTGCGAGGTGGAAGGGTGTGTGATTGTCAATACTGATCTGAAGGGGGTGGTGGCCAAGAATGGGGTGTGGAAGAATGGAAGCTTGGTGGGCAGGATCGACCAGAGTAAGGATGTGGTGGTTGTGAGCAGGGATGGGAAGGATAAGGTATGTCGGGTCCCGTCTGCGATCCTGCATAGAATTCCTAAGCATGGGCTAGGCTAACGAAGATTTTATGGCAGAAGATTGATAACGCGGTCGGAACGAAGGGAATCGTAGCTGAGAAAAGGAGCATGGAAAGGGACCTGGTTGAAAGTAGTGACGACGGTGCTGAAAGTGAAGGTTGGGAAAGAAATGGGCGACGACAAATCTGTGAACTTCAAGGGACGGAGCCGCCACCCCCTTATACAGCTTGACGAGGCTATTGAGATCGTTGGACCGCGCTGGACGGGCTATAAGCGACTTGGTATGGCAACATGAGCAGTTTCGCTCCTGTGCAACTTTGGGTTCGTGACCTGCTGATCGTGGTCTGAGGCAGCCACTGGCTCGGAGCAGGGCTTCTTTCTAGCAGAGTAATGACTACCAACTTGGGTATTGTTCAGTCTTCAAAAGCACGATTCTTGGATTTCATTGCCAGGAACTACTCATTCAAAGCCCCGATACCTCGTTTCATCACCTCAGGTATTCCACGGTGACCGCCTCATTTAAATGGCCCAGAGCAGTATGTCTTCCGGAGTCTAATCCTTTGTTCGAAGAGCTGAATCAATACCAACCACTTCTAGACAAGGCAGACACATCTATGGCGGGTCGAGTGATGAATCATACCAGTCCCATCAATCTTACACTCAGGGCTACTCATCAGTAGGAGTGAGGATCAGCCGAGGCTGTCGGGTCCTACACAGAGCTTCCGTTACCGCAGAAGCACCTCAGGCGATCGAAGAGGGAGCATCTGCCGATATAGGCGTACAGACGAGACACTCGATTAGAGATTGTATCCTCCTTCATGATCCACAGGTCAACTAGTGACTGGGTCTGTAGTCGACTTCGTCCAAGCAGTTGACTGTGTCGCATACATAATCATGACAAAGAATCCTTTAAAGAGCCTAGCCAAGATTTTTTTCCGAGCTGTTGTGTTGCTCGAACAGCCGCTGCCGAGAAACAAACACTACACACTGGAATTCGAAAAGACAGTGCGATATTGAGGTCGGAAGAGTACTGTACAACTTCCGGTGGTGGTGGTGGAGGTAGACCCTCTTCTTAGAAACATAAGTCCCTTCATTGGCCTATTCTCGCAAAGCTCAAATTGTTTCCAAATAGCTTCGGGGTAGTGTGAGGTACTAGCACTACTAGTTTTATGTTATTGTTCGCTTATGGAGTAGCTCGTCGTCTTGCATTGAGGCCAACCGCCAAAGTGCCGGCTGGGCGTAGTCTACCAGTCTAGCTAACTCTGGGTTAGTTTCCCGAGCTAGCGCACAGACGGCGCCTTGACCGTTCCAGGCTGTAGGCAAGCAGCCGCGCCGCATAAAGTCTCTTCGGATCCTGCGTCATGATGTGGCATGCTGCATGATGTGTGACAGGTCTACTCCTTGCAATTTTGTGAATATTGCTTCACTATATTCACTTGACGAAGCAATTTTAGTCGGATAAGTTCGGGGGATGGATCAGGAGAAGAGAAAGGAGAAAACTTGGCGTGGAGAAGGGGCCACAACCAATTTCATTTGGCGTCAAACGGTGGAGAGAACTGGTTCTAACCTGTAAGTCAGGGAGTGGGTCGCAAAACAGCCTAGATTGCGAAGTATGGGTGGAACCGGCACGAGGTCAGCAGCAGTCAGTCCAGCAGGTGAGTTAATACGTAGCTGGGAGAAACCTGTGATACAGAAAAATTGGAGTGCATTGGTCATATTATAAAGCGGTGCAAACATAAGAGAGAAGGAAAGAGGGGAAGAATGTTGTAATACGGAGTAGTTAATTAGTACTGCAGTGTACTCACGCACTGCAGTAGTCATCCATCATCATTGCCTGCTTCATGGACAGCCCTGAAAAGGATAGCCCGCAAGGCGGTGGGGACCGGCAGAGGCTAACGCCACTTCGCTCCGATCGGCCGGCGCCCTTCCGCCTTCCTGAACTAGTCCTTGGTCTGCGACCAGGAATCCTTGGGACTCCAGTCTCTCCTATAACTAACTAACTACTTATCTCTTGCGAGATTTATTTTTCTTGCTTTTCTCCTGCTCTTCTCCAATCTTTCCTATTCTCCTTGATCCTGCTACTGCGAAACTCTTCAGGGTCACTCGCTTGGTGCGCCTGGATATCGATCTTCGCCGCCTGATTAGGGGTCGCTGTCGTCATCTTTTTCCCCCATCCCACGCGCGCCACGGAGCGCAAGGCCACACACGATGGGCCTCTCCAAGACCAACAGGATTCTGATCCTGTTGGCTATTGACTCGGCTTTCTTCTTGTTAGAATTGATTGCTGGTTTGTCTCTTCAAGTATGAATCTTTGACCGCCGCCCCCTTCTAACCTGTTGGACTTGAATAGGTTACAGCGTCCACTCGCTTGCCCTTGTTGCCGACTCCTTTCATATGGTACGCCTCGGCCCACACTCTGCAGCCCTCCGACCGCTTTGTTGACCTGTTTGCCATAGCTCAATGATGTTTTGTCTCTATTGGTCGGATTATGGGCCGTTAAAGTCGCCAACCGCGAAACCAACTCGAAGATGTACACATATGGGGTGAGCTGTCCCCTTTCCTGCACACCGCTTGGAACTCGTCCTAATTATCATCGTACGGTTCGCAGTGGCAACGCGCAGAAACATTAGGTGCCTTGGTCAACGGAGTATTTCTGGTCGCCTTGTGTTTGTCTATCTTCTTGGAGGCCATACAGAGACTGGTGGAGCCTCAGGAGGTCAAGAACCCCAAATTTGTCTGCATTGTCGGTTGCTTAGGTCTGCTATCAAACATCATTGGCTTAGTCCTTTTCCATGACCATTCTCATGGACACGGCCACAGCCATGGTCACGCAGACATCGAAGAAGGTGACTTTTCGGAGGAAGGCCATGGTCATGAGCATAGCCATGACCCTGTTCCAGTCTTGGAGCAAGGAAACACAACTAGCGTGAGTAGGCCGGTCCCATCTTTCCAGAACACATGTTGACTTCTGATTGCAGCGTACTGCTGGCGCGGACGCCTCTTCCCCGTATTCAAACCGTCGTCGGACCTTGGACAGTCAGCACCGCAGTTCTCGTCGCTACAGCGGCGCAACCGGCCGTGGGTTCCTTGATGTCGAAGAGATCCAAGTCCATCCCGCCACTTTGCGGCAGGAAATCATTGCAGCCAGTCGCTCTCGCTATGATGACCCATCGGGATCCGACACGGACGTGCTTGAGGGTGGGGATTCCGAGGACGTCCGTCCATCCGAACGCTCTGCGCTATTGGGCCACAAGGATCGTGCTGGCAACTATACTGACGCCGGAAATGCGCCTAAGACGGCTCGTCGTACTCCCGTGGACGACGACATTCACAGGCATCACAACCATGCCCAGCCTAAACAGAAGGATGAGAAGCATGGCCATGGCCATAGCCATGATCTGAACATGCGAGGTGTTTTCCTTCATGTGATGGGTGATGCGCTCGGCAACATCGGCGTCATCGCCTCCGCCCTGATCATCTGGCTGACTGATTACTCCTGGCGCTTCTATGTGGATCCTGGCATTTCATTGGTGATCACCGTGATTATTCTCTGTTCTGCCATCCCTCTTTGCAAAGCGGCCTCGCGGATTCTGCTTCAGGCTGTGCCCCACGGCCTTAGCATTGATCATATCAAGGAAGACATTGAAGGACTGCCGGGAGTAATGGGCTCCCACCACTTACATGTCTGGCAGTTGAGTGACACCAAGCTTGTGGCCTCGATTCACATCCAGGTCGATACGGAGATTAAGGGCGAGGGCTCGGAGCGGTACATGCGTCTAGCCAGGCAGGTGCGCAAGTGCTTGCATGCTTATGGCATTCATTCGTCCACCATTCAACCCGAATTTGCGCCGGACAGTGATGCTGAAGACACCATTCAATTCCCTTCTCACCCCGATGGTGAAGCCTCTACTTCGACGACGCTCCCAAGCCGTACACCTAGCGTCCCTGAAGGAGATCCCCAGGCTTGTCTTCTTGAATGTGGCGAAGAATGCGCTCAAAACGGCCAGTGCTGTCCGAAGAGGTCGCCGTGACTACATTAGGGAGGGGTCGCGATACTCTTCCGTCTAATTACCTCACCTTTACACTTCCTTATAAGACGACTCGCCCTAAAAATACTGTTTCCTATCCGTACTGATCATACCCAATTGTTTCTGGTGACTGAAAAGTCATCTGTTGAGTTTGTCCCTGTTAAGAATCTCTGTTTGGACTTGGCGCATGTTCGGCGGGTACTTTGACATAAATGCATCCAGACGTGCGCATCTCGCGCTTGTTTTCAAGTATCTCTACCAAAATTACACCGTACTATATGTTGGTCATATGTTGGAATTATCAAGCCACCTGTGCTTGTAGGATGCCTATGTAGTAGCAACATGTAGTAGCAATTCCCAGAGCCTGCACATGCTGACGGGCGGTGACCAAAGACCGGGAGGCTTGGAGTGAGACAGGGATGGGATAGTTCGCCCGCGGTCGGAGGCTGAGGTCAGTTACCAAAATTGCCAAAATTGGAACAAGACCCCCAAACTAGACTAAACTCAGCTGGAGAAGCCGCGGCGGCCACCTCACACGTGACGTGATCCCGCGCCTGTTTGGCGGCGAAACACACCCCTGGGCTGGCATCTTCACTTGATCATTCTCTCATTCTCTCACTTTGACACTTATTCTTCTCTGGATCAAACTATTTTCGCTCCCTTCTTACATCTCTTTTCTTGATCATACTGCATCTCGAGGCATGCCGTCGCGACTCGTTCTTTACTAACTGCTTCAAACTCGTTTCAGCATCGGAGCGGCAATGCCGCATGACGGTAGCTGCATCTCCACTGTGCACCAACAACCATGAGTTACGCCTACCCTCACTCACACGGCGCCAGCTCTGGCAGCTTTTGGCCGGCCAGTCGCGAACCTGATATGGAACCAGCGACATTCTCACAACAGATGCGAGATTACCTGCCATCATGGACACAACAATGGGCGATGGAACTGACAAATGGAATTCAAAGTCGGGATGGGATGTTGTCATTGCTACGGAGGACATTCCGGTGGATTTTTACCATAACAAATGCGCTGGTAGTCCTGTGGGCTTGCACGCTTTGGTGGGGAGAGCGGACCATTTTCCAGGACAGCGTCAAGACATGTGCGTGGGGAAACTGGGAGAAATGGGTATGTGACATCGTTGCCTTACGGCCCTTCGCCGACTGTCTCTATCCTTGAATCCATCTAACAGTGGTGCTCTGTAGCCTCAAGACGCCGTGCCGCACCATGTCGCGTTCATCGCCGATCCCCAATTAGTCGATCCTCATACCTACCCCGGCCGGCCGTGGCCCCTGTCGACCTTGACCGTCAAGTTCACCGACCAATACATGCGGCGCTCGTTTTCTACATTGCAGAAACAGCTGAGTCCCGACTCGGTACTATTCCTGGGCGACTTGTTCGATGGCGGCAGGGAATGGGCGACGGCAACTAGCTCCAGTCCGGAGAAGCGGTACCAAAAATACAAGGATCGGTTTTGGAAGAAGGAGTTCCATCGGTTCACTAAGATATTCATGGATACCTGGAATCAGGGCGATGGACACGCGAGCGATCCTCGTGGGCGAAGAATGATCACGAGCTTACCGGGCAACCACGACTTGGGCTTTGGGTCGGGTGTCCAGATCCCTGTTCGGGAACGATTCCAGAGCTTCTTTGGGAAAGGTAATCGCGTGGACGTGATCGGAAACCATACCTTTGTCTCAGTTGACACCGTCTCGCTGAGCGCCATGGATCAGCCTGATCCGGAGACTGGCAGCTCGGGTGCCGGCACAGGGGAGGGGGTCCTGCCAAACCAGCGCATCTGGGCGGACACGGAGCAATTTCTCAACAACATGAACGTGCACCGGGGCCGGGCGGAGATGGAATCGTTGCGCATGATGAGAAATGAGAGCGAGGGGCATCTTTATGTGCATCGGGCTGTGGACATTTTGGAGCCCTCCTTCTATCACCGACCGCAGCCAGAGATTGCAGGCCTCCCTGCGATTCTCTTAACACACGTACCGTTGTATCGCAAACCGGCCACGCCATGCGGACCTTACCGAGAGCGGTATCCCCCAACGGATGACAACCTGGAAGAGGATGAGCGCAACTCCATACCTATGGGGCGGGGATACCAGTACCAGAATGTGTTGACGCCCACCATCTCGCGGGACATCGTGTCCAAGGTTGGGCCTAACCTCGTTCACGTCTACTCCGGGGATGATCATGACTACTGCGAAATTGCTCATCACGAATTCAGTGGGTCCCCCCGGGAAATCACGGTGAAGAGCCTGTCTTGGGCGATGGGGATTCGACGGCCCGGCTTCGTGATGACCAGCCTGTGGAACCCTGTCGACAAGGCGACCGGGCAGTCGCTGCAGTCCTCCGGATCTGGTCGGACCGTGCAGAATCACTTGTGCCTTCTTCCCGACCAGCTCTCCATTTTCATCAACTACGGCCTTGTCTTGGCTTTCACCCTGGTTGTTCTCCTTCTCCGGGCGGTGTTTGTGGTGAAACATCCCTCACAAGCTAGCGCGGCGGACCCCATCCTCCCTCTGTCGGAGAGTCGCAGTCGCCCTCCACAGCGCCCCGCCCGATACAAGAGCCCGTCTTCTAGTACGTCCAGCTCCACGCTTCCATCCCCGCACGGCCTGGCTAGTCGCGCGACCAACAATCCTCCTTTGCACGCCACTTACGCAAGTGCAGATGAGGATGAGCTGAGTAGCGCCAAATGGAAGCCGACGCGGGATGGCTCTGGGCGCCGAGCCGGCCGGACTACGACCACGGCCGGGAAGATTAAGGGGGAGTTTGTAGATTCCGTGAAGTACGTAGCGGGGATTGTGTTTGCGTGGTATTTCTTTCTCATTTGGCGTTGGTAGAGGAAATAAAAGACATGGAATGGTGGGGCGGAGTTTGTAGACAAGGCGGTTTTGTCCTGAATATATACATTTGCGGGGTTTAGCACTCGGGACGGAATTTCACTGCAACCTCGCTGGTCCAGGTTTCAGCGTTTCAGTTCTGTATGTGGGCAATAGCATTCTCATCAAGCATGCCGCTGATGAGCGAGAATTTCAGCCAGTTTCGATTCGAATTGCTTCCATTTCGTAGATTACAGCATCGTTGTACCTGCTATAGACAATACGTTAGGATCATACATGAAAGTAAGGGCCTTGCGCGCGGGACGCAGGTAGCCTGTCGGAGCAGCCCACACACGTGATTAGAGCAGGCGAGTAACCTTAACCCTATCTAGCCTCCGCACTAGCATATCTTGTGTAACCATCAAACTACCACCAAAAGATTCGAGATATCATCGACGTTGCTGGCCCAAACGGCATCATTTAACCGCTCAAACCTCATATACTATTGCCAAAGGTCTCAAATATACACCGTCCGATGTAGTGTAACGGCTATCATACCTGTCTTTCACACAGGAGATCGGGGTTCGATTCCCCGCATCGGAGAGCTACAATTCCTTTTTTGGGCTGGGTCTCGTCGTTTTTGTGTTTCTGCCTTTCTTGGCCAGCAAACTACAGTTTCCCAATGGCTGAGTAAAGCCATTGGAGGCCAAAAGATGGAAGATATGTTTTAGGTGGCTATCTCTGAAGAAAGCCTCTCTAAGCTAGATTTCCTTACATGAGCTTGTTGATTGGATGATTATCGAACTCCAGAAGCCTATGAATGCATTGTCTGGTATTAAAATGAGCTGGACAGGGCTGGTCAGAGAAGGGAGACGGGGGGGTTGACCCCGTCCCATGTAAGTGACTATCGAACGGCAGATGTGAAAGACAGAGCCATTGCGATCCCGCCTTTTGCACAGAGAGCCTCAATTGCCTTCCCCATACGGAGTACATTTCCACTTGCTCTGTCTCACCTCCATCGCTGGTGTCTGACCCAGAAACCCAAACCCGGGGGCACGCAACATCTACGTAGGGATGTATAGACCACGCACAGCGACCCCGCGTTCTGACACTGGCCCTAAGACCACCACCACCAATGAAATCCAACACGGCAACCTCTGAAGCGGGAAAGAAACAGGCTCCCTCACCTAAGGATGACGTTGAACCGTCCCCGGATCCTCGTGTTTTGGTGAAGTTGACTTTGATCCCACGGGGGAAGGGTAGATCACCTCCTTTTCGATTTGGAGTGCCGTGTGCCCAGTGGCTGCCTAAACAGATTTCATTTGCCAACTCTATTTCTGCCCGGGAAGAGAGGGGATCTGGTGCAATCAGAGCGGCACCACTGTCACAGATGGGCGCCGGCGCCGTCTGTTCCCCCGGGGTCGGGAAATGATCGCACACAGCAAGCCTCCGTCCCTCGCTCCGGCAATTATCTATCGGCTCGGGGGAGGGGGCATCCAGGAAAGTTTCTTGGTTTAGTTGCTTGGTTATTCTTGTCCTCCATCGCATTAGTCAAGGCTCTGGTAGACTAGGTCGTTAGTCATGGGTGGGATCTGAAAATAGCATCATTTCGCCCTCGTGGGAGTTCGGCATTTTGGAGACTCAGAGTCAAGCATCTAGACGGGCTCCAGATGACAGAGACAAGTTAAAAAAATCCGGGGATGTTGATCATGTGGCAAAGCAAGGATGAGAAAAAATTTTCCGCAGGGTGCAAAGCCACGACTCTGGACCTGGATCGAGGGGAAATCGCCGACGCTCGCCAGGGACCGATAGAGAACAAACCTGGCTCTAGGCCGAGTTCGGGTTCCCGGTGAGAAGGTTGGTTGGTGAAGGATGGACCGATGGGTGAAACTTGGGGTTTGCTTGTTGCTTTTCGGCTCTGGCCGTGCTGGAAAGCAAAGCTCCTGAACCATCGGGTGAGCCGTGGTTCGGGGTTGAGTACTGAGGACTGTGGCTGAGGCAATTGGAGGCTAAGGAAGTTGGGCTAGTTTAGCGTGGATTTAGCGTGGGAAAATAGAACGCTTTTCACCTGTTCACCCCACGCCGGGTTGGTCTGGGGAAGAAAGTTCCAAAAGTTTCTGATCTTGTGATCATCTTGATAGACTGACAGTTCGGGCAAAATCGCCGTCAAGATTTCCGAATTGGCTCTAGTTCTGTTATGTAGAGAGTGCTTCTGTTTATTGTGGCTGATGTGGCTGATTTGGCTGATTCGGGATGGGGAGAAATGGTAAGACCGGCTACCCGAATGCGGTCTGGAGTTTGTTGTAACTTCAGTTGTCAGTGTGGCCGTTCCCGGTGCTGGGCCGGCTTCGAGTTCTCTTGTTCACCTCCCGTCTGTTCTCTAACTTAGCGGTGAATACTATACACTGCCTTTGTTCGGCACATCAGGTGCTAAATCTATTCACCTTTCACCTTTCACCTTAGATTTGAGAATCGAAATCCACGGCAGGGTCTTAGAGATACCTCGGAGATGGGTTGGCAACAAACCTCCTCGGGCACCGGCGAGAGCCAGTGTTGTCCCCACCGGTCGGCTTTGCGCACCAGAAACCCTCCCGGCTAACGCACTCTCTCGGGACTAGTCCCGACACTGGACAATGGCGATCGTCGGCCTGGCCTCGTGTCTTGTCCTCCTCTCAACTTCTCAACACTCCAGTCTCCACACTCCAGACTCGGGAAGGCCCTGACAAACGACGCGGGGGAAAAGAATGTTCGGTCTCGTGGCCTGGCCGGCCTGGCCCCTACTCTATTCCGGGCTGTGCCATTCACTCATTCACCCATTCACTCATTCGCTTCGATTCCGGTCCGTCAGCAGTCCCCGGCCGGCCGGATCTGGGGTTGACCAGACTCTCTCGGCCTGGTCCCCCGCGCACTACAAAAGCGTCGTGATATCCCCAGCTCAGATTGACTTTCTCATCTTCATCTCCATCATCATCTCCATCATCTTCTCCATCATCAGTTTCTCATCTCTCCATCATCAACTGCCTTACAGCTCTCATCAACATCCCATCCACGTGATCTCATTCTATTTCCTCTTGACTGCCTACCATCGTTCGCACTGAAGAACTCTCTGCCATTGACTGTTGACAAACACACCCCCTCTACCACTACCCCTTCTGATCCTACTTGTGATCAATCTACAATGGGTTTCATGCTGAAGAAGCCTGATCAGGCAGCGGGCTCGGCCGCCCCTGCCATCATTGTTGGCCTGTTTGCCGCCTTTGGAGGTATTCTCTACGGATATGACACCGGCACTATCAGCGGTATCATTGCCATGAAGAAGTGGCGCGAGATGTTCTCCACTGGCTACGTGAACCCCAAGGATGGACTTCCCGATATCACCTCCTCCCAATCTTCCATGATTGTCTCTCTGTTGTCTGCTGGTACTTTCTTCGGTGCTCTCTGTGCCGCCCCCGTGGCCGACCGCTTTGGTCGTCGCCTGGCTATGATCCTCGACTCCTTCGTTTTCTGCTTCGGTGTCATTCTGCAGACTGCCGCCACCCGCATCCCTCTATTCGTGGCTGGTAGATTCTTCGCCGGCTTTGGTGTTGGTCTCCTCTCGGCAACCGGTATGTGCTCCCTTGGAGTGGATGATCTAAGGCGATAGATGCTAACAGCGATCCAGTTCCCCTTTACCAGTCGGAGACTGCCCCCAAGTGGATCCGTGGTACTGTCGTCGGCGCCTACCAGCTGGCCATCACCATCGGTCTTCTGCTCGCCTCCATCGTCAACAATTCCACCAAGGACCGCATGGACACTGGCTGCTACCGCATCCCTATTGCTATCCAGTTCGCCTGGGCCATCATCCTGGTGACGGGTATGCTCATCCTGCCCGAGACTCCCCGTTTCCTGGTCAAGCACGACCGTCACGAGGCTGCGGCTCAAGCGCTCGCCCGTCTGCGCCGTCTCGATGTCAACCACCCCTCCATCGTTGAGGAGCTCTCCGAGATCCAGGCCAACCACGAGTACGAGCTCAGCGTTGGCAAGGCCAGCTTCGGCGACATCTTCCGTGGCACTCTGGGCAAGCGTCTGCTCACAGGCTGCTTGGTCCAGGCCCTGCAGCAACTGTCTGGTGTCAACTTCATCTGTAAGCTTCCCTCCTTTTCCACATTCTCATCGATCCGTGTCTAACCTTCGCTGCAGTCTACTACGGAACCACCTTCTTCCAGAACTCTGGCATCAAGAACAGCTTCACCATCACCTTGATCACGAACATCGTCAACGTGTGCTCCACCTTCCCCGGTCTCTGGCTCGTTGAGAAGTGGGGTCGTCGTCCTCTCCTTTTGTTCGGAGCCGTTGGCATGTGTGTCTGCCAGTTCATTGTCGCCATTGTCGGCACAGCTACCGACTCGGAAGTCGCCAACAAGGTGCTGATCGCCTTCGTCTGCGTCTACATCTTCTTCTTCGCTTCCACCTGGGGTCCCACTGCCTGGACGGTGACCGGTGAGCTGTTCCCCTTGAAGGCTCGCGCCAAGTGCCTGTCAATCACGACTGCCTCCAACTGGCTCCTGAACTGGGCTATTGCCTACGCCACCCCCTACATGGTGGACTCCGGCCCGGGCAACGCCAACCTCCAGTCCAAGGTGTTCTTCATCTGGGGTGGGTTCTGCGCTATTGCCGGTGTCTTCGTGTACATGTGCATCTACGAGACCAAGGGGCTTTCTTTGGAGCAGGTCGATGAGCTCTACGCCAAGGTGTCTTCTGCCTGGCGCTCGCCCGGCTTTGTTCCCTCGGTGCACTTCACCGATGTTCGGGATGTGGCCGAGGGCAAGGCTCGTGGCACTCTCGGGGAGTTGGAGCATGATGCTCAGATGAAGCGTGAGCACGAGCACATTGAGTCTGCCTAAGCCTATGACTTCGTCTTCTGTTTTGTTTCTGGAGTACGGGTTGGACATTGGGATTAATAATTGGGAACGACATTTATCATGTATAGTATGAGCATTTTGTTTGAGAAGCGCAGCGATTGAGTCATGTTATGTGTTATGAGAATTACAGTTCAACTGTCATATGTGTCAACTGTCAGTGTCATATTTAAGAATCCGAATGATGCATACCTATTGAAGCTTGAGTGATAATTCTTAGTATGGGTTGAACCTTGGATGAACCAATAAGTGGCAGTGTAAGCAGAACTCCGACGTCACCAGCTCCGACATACTAGTAAGTATGATGACGCCTGAGGCCCCAAGGGGGGTGTGATTGGGTGCCACCGCCCCACGGGATTACGCGCAATGGCCCCTCTCACGTGATCGCAACCAGGAGTTCCTCTCCCAAAACGGCAATCACGGGGGCTGTTCCCGCTCCACCGAACACCCTCCACCCTCCACCATCATCATCCCTCATCATCGCCTGCTTCTCTACTGCCGATCGATCCCTCTTCTTATTTCGTCCCTTTTCCCCTCCAACCCCCCCGACCCCCTCCTAATTCCTTTTTCTTTTGATCTCCTGACAATGTGGTCCCTTGTACTCTACTACATCCCCTGATCGCATCATGTTTCTTTCGTCCGACCCTGACGGTGAGACCCTGGGTCCCTCCGTCAGTATCAGCCGTGGGCCGGACCCTGGCCTAGCCTCCCAGGACAATAAAGCGCACTACTTTAGCACCGCCATCGAAGTCGGAACCATCGAACAGCAACACCATGGATTGGGCTCGCGAGGGGATCGATCATCACCAAAGGGGTTTGAATTGCAAGACCTAGGCCCCAAATTGAACAGTGACGACAAGAACTCCGCCACAGTGACCGACAGATTGCTCGGAGACGACGAAATGAGCACTACGATCTCGACGCTGGCCTCGCATCCGCTGTTCCCACCACTCCCCACTTACGGACCGCCCTCCTTGGTCCTCTCGCTGAAATGCCTTCTGATCCGCTGCGTCTCGTTCGTCCTGTCGCTCCTGTTTCTGGGCACAGTCATGGTGGCAGCCGTCGTTCACACCGTGGTCAATGCCGTCATCTCACCCTTTTACCGCAGTCGACGTGGCCAGGATCCCGGTGAGGGGCGCAAATTCTCCGCAGAAGAGCGGTCACGGCGCACGGAGCGGATCAAGGCGCTGCGGCGCTGGAGTTCTCGACAGGAGAAGGAGGTCAACGAGGAAGGCCTGGATGAGTGTCCACCATTGGAGGGTGGCAAGGATCCCATCGTCTGTGACGTGGCGTACTATGCCCGTCGCGTTGGGTTAGACGTTGAGACCTTCAAAGTGCAGACGGAGGACGGGTTCATTCTCACGCTATGGCATGTTTACAATCCACAAGAGTACACTCCTTTGCCGGCTAAGGATCGTCGCCATCGCGGACCAGAAGTGTTCACGGGCGAGACAAACCCCGAGGTCTCAAAGCGTTCCACGCCTCGCAAGTATCCCGTCCTGCTGATGCACGGGCTGCTCCAAAGTGCCGGAGCTTTTTGCGCCAATGACGACGACAGTCTTGCGTTCTTTCTTTGCAAATCTGGCTACGACGTCTGGCTGGGCAACAACCGCTGCGGTATGACGCCTGAGCACACCACTCTCCTTGAGACGGACCCGCGGATGTGGTCGTGGAACATCCAGCAGATGGGCGTGCTGGACCTGCCGGCGCTCATCTCGCGCGTCCTGTACGAGACCGGTTTTGAGAAGCTGGGCCTGGCGTGCCACTCGCAGGGCACTGCGGAGACCTTCATTGCCCTTGCGAAAGACCAGCGACCCGAGCTGGGAGAGCGCATTTCAGTCTTCTGCGCTCTGGCCCCGGCCGTATACGCGGGTCCACTGATCAATAAAGTGTGTCTGAGGTTCATGCGTATCATTCCGCCACTCATCTTTCGCGCCTTCTTCGGCATCCACTCGTTCATTCCGTTCATGATGACCGTCCATCGCCGTCTCCACCCACGCATCTACGGCGCCCTCGGCTACTATGTTTTCTCGTTCCTGTTCGGCTGGAACGACGCCCGCTGGGACCGCGCTCTTCGCGACCGGATGTTCCAGTTCGCGCCAGTCTATGTCAGCGCGGAGACGATGCGGTGGTGGCTCGGACACGGATGTTTCGCCAACCATAAATGCATTCTCGCGACAGAGGAGTCGACGTTGACTGAGATGGAAGAGGATCTTCGTTACAGCAACGAGTCGTCCCCGCCTCGCCGCGACACCGCGTGGTATGGACCCCAAGTTCCCCCTATGGCCTTGTGGATCGCCGGCTCGGATAACCTCGTCGACGGACAGCAGTTCCTGCAGCGGCTGCAGAAGGGCCGTGAACCGCACGTCCGCCTGGTGCACGCCAAGGTTATCGAGGAGTACGAGCACTTGGATGTTTTATGGGCTATGGATGCCGTCGACCAGGTGGGGCAGGAGGTGCGGCAGGTGCTGTGGCAGACGATGCCGGAGGAGGCACGGGCGGTGTGTCGCGTGCCTCGAGGGGTGGAGTAATGTGGTTAGCCCTGGGTTGTATACAAACGAAGCGAACCCTGTATATATTTAGATTCTTCTGTATCCTTAGACATGAGACACGACCATAGACATATTTATCAAGCCTTGTTGTGACTTTAACCATGTATTTCCCTTCCTCTATCGAGTCAAGGAGATGAGAAAATGCCTCCATACCAAACTCCAGCAACCAGACAACTGCTCAATGCCAGTGCTCCCCCAAAAACCGCAACACCGTCCGATACCCGCGGAGATACTCCTCCCGCACGTGGGGATCGCTCAAATCCGCCCGCGCCGCCATCCACCCATGCACCTGGTCGCCAAACGTCTCGACATGATGCGGCACGCTCAGCTTCGCCTCAAACGCCTGCAAGGTCTCCGGCGCCTCCTCCTGCGACGCGAGCAGGATGTAGGGCACGGCGATCTTCTCCGCGCCCGCCGGGTCGATCATGGCCGGGTGGGCGGCCGCCGCCACGGCGAAGGGGTTGGTGGACGGGTTGGACGTCACCAGCTCGGTGACCTTTCCGCCCCAGCAGAACTACATTCCTAAGGTATTAACGAAGAAGATCCTTTTGGGTGGGGGGGGGGGGGG